CTGAATTGCTGCTAGCATAGTCCAGGGTAAGGAGGCAAAAAGGACCTTTGGATAATATCCACAGATGTTTAATTCAGCTGTGTGGTGAGATGATCAGGTCACAGAACACAGGCATGCAGAGGGTCTCTGCAGGGGCCTGGGGGCTGACCCTGGTCTCAGGGCAGTACAAAGGTGAGGGCAAATCAGGGAATAGGGAAGGAGTGGCTCAGGGACATAGGAACAGACATAGGAACAGGGGAGAGAGCCAGTGGGGTCTGACAGCTTTTTGAGGCACGTTTCTTGTGTCTCCCTAGACCAGGGAATGCCCCCCCAGGGTCTCCACATGCAGCTTTGCAAGAAGAGCTCTAGGCTTTGCTGTTGCTGGGAGAACAAAGTGCTTCCCCAGCTGGACCTCCTGCCATGGGGAAAGCACTTTGGGTTTGCTTTATCTGTCTTTCAAATGAGAGCTTGGGACTTTTCCTCTTAGCCTTTCCAGGCTAGGGGCAAGAAGATGAAGCTCAGTTTAGCTGTGAAACTGTTTGGCACAGCCTTGACTTTCATGTGTGCCCACATATTGTAACTTGTGTGTTCTTCTGTTCAGGTGGGTCAGATCCATGGAGGGCTCATGGGTGTGATACAGAGAGCCATGGTGAAAGCTTGTCCCCATGTCTGGTTCGAGCGTTCTGAGGTCAAAGATCGTCACCTCGTCGCCAGAAGGTGTGACAGGCTGCAGGGATGGGTCTGGAGGCTGGGGGAGGTAGAGGGCTGCTCATCTCCCTTGGATGAGGACACTGCATGGCCTCACAAGTGCTGGGAGGTTGTGCCCCTGTTGTTGGGACCCTGATAGTCCCTGGTGACTGCAGGGTATGGATTATGTGTGGATTGCTACTGAGAGCATCTGTGCTTTCTGCTAATTTTTGACACTCTTCTGTTTAGGCTCACAGAACATGTCCAGGACAAAAGCAAACTGCCCATTCTTATTTTTCCAGAAGGTGAGTGCAACAAGGCCAGAGAAGCACCAAGTAGAGGAGGCACCTTGAGATAGCACCACATCTCTGTTCCTTTCCTTCTTACATAGCCAAGGGCTTGAGACCCTCCACTGAGAGAGACAAAAGGGACATTTGTGTCTTTAGAGCTGAGTGAGCCCAGAATGCAGGAGTCACTCATGATGTCCCAGTGACCCAGAGAACAGGGTTTGGATGGAGTTAGGGGAGAGTTGCTGGGTTCCTGTTGCCCTGCCCATAAGCCTGTAGCTTACATTTTTGAACTGACTTGCAGAGGAGAGTTAAGATTGTGCTTGTCTCTTACAGGAACATGCATCAACAACACATCTGTGATGATGTTCAAAAAGGGGAGCTTCGAAATTGGAGCTACAGTTTACCCTGTAGCCATCAAGGTATGACAAGGCAGTGTTCCTAGGGCACAAGTCTGTCTGTCCCTCTGTACCTCTGTCTTGGCAACCCAGTCCAGCCTGGTCTGAGGGCACAGGAAAGCTGAGGTCACTCCATGTAGTGCTCTGGGAGAGCTTTAGCTCGGTTTGGGGTGGAACTTGGAGCCTCAGAGAGGGTGCAGCCCCTGCCTGACTTCCATGAACTCTTCTGCCTTTGCAGTATGACCCACAGTTTGGAGATGCCTTTTGGAACAGCAGCAAATACGGCATGGTGACCTACCTCCTGAGGATGATGACCAGCTGGGCCATCGTCTGCAGTGTCTGGTACCTGCCCCCAATGACCAGGCAGGTGAGGTGAACCCAGCCTGTCTGATTGCTTTCCTGTTTGGCCCTTTGCTCCTGCTGAACACTCTTGTTTTGCCACAGCCTGAAGAGGATGCAGTGCAGTTTGCCAATCGAGTGAAGTCAGCCATTGCCAGGCAAGGGGGCCTTGTGGATCTGCTCTGGTGAGTCCAAGCAGGCTGTTCTCTTCCTGGTGCCAGAGTTCCTTGTTCTGGGTCCTGGGATGTGCTCATGGGCTGTAGAGCTCCATTTGTTTCTTGCTTAGGGTAGAGCAGGCCTCTGGAGGAATGTCCTTCTGTAGTAGAGACCAAAGTCTTTGCTTCTTGTGTATGCTGGGCATCAGAGCTTCATCCTTTGATTGTAGCTTGCATTGGGATGCCCTGGGTTTGACTTGTTTCCACTCTGCAAGGTGTGTTCAGCTTGGGAACTTGCTTTCCTAGGCACTGAGGTGTCAGAGCCCAGGAGGCAGGCAGGCAGTCTCCTGTAGCTGTACCAGAGTAGCTCATGTTTCTGGCAGAGTTGATATTTTGGGCACAGTGCAGGGCCAGGGGGGCAACTCCTGGCACAACCAGGTAAGGAAGTGATGCCCTTTGGGGACGGGTGGTCTCGCTGCAACTCTGACTTGCCCTGAACAGTCCCAGATGAAGATGATGCCTGCCTGCAGCCTCTCTGATATGACTCTCTCCCCAGGGATGGAGGACTGAAAAGGGAGAAGGTGAAAGATGCGTTCAAGGAGGAGCAACAGAAACTCTACAGCAAAATGATTGTAGGCAGCCACGAGGACCGGAGCCGCTCCTGAGCCTGCTGCCTCCAGCACTGCCACCCGGGCTGGCCAAAGCCCCTGCCTCCAGCACCAGCCAGGGCTTGTCTGGAGCAACTCTGAATCTTTGGACTTGGCTACTCCAGAGCTGCTTGGACTCGCTTTTTCATCCTCTGGCTATTGTTTGACGGAGGCACTATTGCTGCCTGGAGTCTTGATGCCTTTGGCAGCTCATGGCAAAGATGCCTTCTTGTTACTGTTACAGTGAAGCCCCTCGCAGGGGCAGTATTAAATGAAACTCTTATGGTGTCATGTGCTTCCATCTGCTGTGTCCAGCCCCAGGGGAGGACTGGTGTGATGTGCGTGTGTGTCAGTCACAAGTCTCCCACAACACAAAAGCTGCTGAGCTGTGCTGAAATTGGCTGCCTTGACAACCAGGGGAATCCTCCTGAGCCTGTCCCCCTCATGTGTGAGGCATAAACCCCTTAGGAGCAGAATGTGCCTCTCAGGCCATTTTCAGTTCCACTTCCAGGAGAAATCTTTTTCTTTTGCCACTTTCCTGTCAGCTTGACCCAGACTGTTGCTTCTACAGTGTCTGACTAACAGCCTCTTCACTGCTGCTGATGCAGTAAGGATCATACTCCTTGGAAATCTCCCTCTGTCCCCTGGGGCTGCAGGGTGCCAGGTGTCACTGGAGTGGCAGGTGGGGCTCCTGAGGAATCTGGTGTAGGAGAGCCCAAGACTTCATGGCTAGGGCAGCAAATCCCTTTTCAAATGTCTCCTGAGGGAAACAGTGGCATCTGACCCTGTCATGCACACACGTGGATAGTATCAACCTGTAGCAAGAAAACAAATCTTGTGCTGGATGTGGTGCCCCTTTCTGCTCTGCAAGTAAATTATTCAGTAAAACAACTTGCATTTGAGCATTTCTCCCATGTACTTTCCCATTTTCCTTACATTCCTACAAACTTGAGCACTTACACTGGGTTCTCTGCTCTTAAAACCAAGAGCTGTTTCACTGCTGCCTGCTAAAGCCTGCTTGCATTTTCTAATGCTCTGGAGAAGGCAGTTACCTAAGTGCCTCGGACAGCTGCTCTGTGTAAGTGGCCTTAAATCTGAATTTTCCTGCACTTTTTTATTTACCTGATGGAAGCTCTGGCTGCCAGCTCAGGTGGCCATTTGGATGAAGACCCCTGCACCTTGCTGTGGTCTGGGGAGCCCTGGAGGGAGCCACAGTGAGTCCAGGGTTGCTGAGGCAGTGCTGTGCTCGCTGCCTACCGTGGGTGGTCCTTCCCTGTGTGCTGAGCTGCAGCTGGGGACACACCTGCTGGGGACAGGGACATCCCTGCCTGCTGATCCCTGCTGCCCAGGCAGGGTCTCCAGGCTCTCCTTCACTTCTCCCCATTCAGCAGCTGCTCCTGAGCCCTATCAAGGGCTGTGTCTCCAGAGCTCTCCTCTCTGGGGGTGGGATGGACATTTCCTTCAGGCACTGCTGAAGGCCACAAGGCTCCTCCACCCCCTTGTGTCCTCAGGCACCTGGATGCAGCTGCAGGTGCCCACAAGTCCCCTGTCTCTGACACCATGGCAGAACCCTCCTCAGCTTTGCAGGATGCCCAGCCACCCTGCTGTGCTCGGGGACCGTCCCCAGCAGCATTCAGGACACTCCACAGCAGGCAAGGAGCTGGCTGGACAGGTTAGAGGAGGCACACATCCATCTTTCCTTGCCTCTCCCACCCCATGCCCCCAGTCAATACGTCTCTCTCCGATGAGAAAGTTAATAAATTTAGCTCTAGATTAAAAGTATCGATCATTTCATTTGTAAGCGATAAATAACCGGGGGGGGAGCACTGGGTGGCCCACGGGGTAGGGGCTGCTGGCTCTGGCTGCAGCAGCCGTGCACCCCACTGGGGCCAGGAGCCCTCATATGCATTCTGCCCGGATGCTGGCATTGATTTGCTATTAGTCTCCACGCACCACCCAGTAGCACATCATTCCCGGAGCTGCTATTAATGGCCTTTTGATAAATAATCACTTGTAAGTCAATAAATTTTTATTAAACAGCGTGGCGCTTTGATTTATGAAAATCCGACGGGGTTTGTCTGGGAGAAAAGGGATGCGGAATTGAAGCGGAGCTGCCATCCATCTGCCTGCCAGGCTGGCCTGCCTGTGCCGCACTCCTGGCTCTGCCCACACAGCCTGAGGCTGCCTGGCAGCGGGCACAGGCTGGGCAGAGCTCCTGCTCGCTGCTGGCTGCTCCTGCCCAGAGCCCAGCGCTGATGGGGCACCGCTCTGCTGCAGCAGAAAGTGGGAAAGTGGGAGCCAGGGAGAAAAGGGGGTCGCTCCTGGCTGCTGGGCTGGGACCTGCATGGATCAGCACTGTTTGGGGTCCTGTCTCAGCGCGGGGATGCACGGGGCAGCCAGGCTGCAGCAGCCATTTGTCACTCTCCCTGGCTACAGCAGGCCCTTTGCCACCTGCTTTATTTGTCTCCCAGCCCTGACGTGGCATCAGACAGGTGTTAAACTACTTAATCACTTTAAAATTGTTTTAATTTTCTGTTTTGTATTGATCTCCACAGCACCAATTAATCAGCTCACTGGACCAGGCAGTTAGTACATTAAAAATTGTCAGCCAAGCTGGGCAGCTTAGAAAATGTTAAAAAAATATCCCACCAGCAGCCCCTCACTTCTCCCACCATGTGGAACCTGCTGAGCTCTGGCTCTGTCCACAGACAGTGATGTGTTTCTTCCAGCCTCGTGCACTGTGCTCCCATGGGACCTGCCATCCCACATCCCAGGGTCCATTAGCTCTGTCCTGGCCCAGAATCCATCCCATGGAGGGGCTGCATGGCTGAGGGGGGAGCATTACAAGCCCCACACTCACTGCAGGGGCTGGACAGGCACCTGTGCAGGGACAGTAGTCCCCTAAACTCTGGGAAAGTGGCACCGAGCAGTCAGGTCCCCTTGCAAAGTGCTCAGAGCGCAGTGAGAGATTGAAAGGGGCTTTAAGCCAAGTGTGAGCCTTGGCAGGTTGTACAGTGATGATCTGCACACGAGGCTGGTGCTCAGGGCCACTGAAAGGTCCCAGTGGCTCAGGAGCTTCAGCTGTCCCAAGCGAGGACTCGGCCAGCAGCCTGTTGCAGGTGCTGCCTGCAGGGAGGGGATCCCTTCAGCAGCCCCACTCCTGCCCCTTCCGTGCTGCTAATCACTGCCCGATGGGCCGGCAGCACCTTATCTGCTATCGATTTCCTTCCAAGACACAGCCCACGTGTTTGCTCACACCTGGCTGGCACTTAGCTGGCTCTTGGCTGAACAGCTGCCAAGCTTGCCCGGCCTTCAGTGCTGTGCCTGTGCCAGCTGCAGCTCCTTTGGTGTCCTAAGCAGGTAAGGACAGCTGGCATGCCACTGGTGAGCCACGGGGAGCCAGAGCAGGGGGTGTGCAGCCCCATGTGCTCACAGATGTCTGTATGTGCAGCCCCCACTGCACAGGGGTGCAGCACAGAGCAGGGGGGCACCCAACAGGTTGGCAGGCAAACACACCGGGGCTATTGATGCCACATCAATCCTGCAGCCCCGACAGGTGAATGGGCTCTCACTCACACTGTTAAGATAAATGATATTTATTTGCTGCTAAGAGCTTCCAATAAGAGGCCCCAGTGAGTGACTTTTGAACCAGCAGCTCTTGCTGCTGGTACACGCCCAAACCAGAGAAAACCCTGGGAAAATCTCCAGGGCTCCCCTGCTTCTGTGGGGCACTTCCTGTCCCACATGCAGCACCACAGCACGGCCCCTTTCCCCTGCCTGGCATGCAGACCCTGCCCCGTCCATCCTATCCCCAACCCTTCTCTAGCCCAGCCTCACAAGGCCACCCTGGACCACGAAACAAGTGCTGGGACTCGACTGGGACCTTTATTTCATCAACGCTGCACCTGACACTACCACGTGTGCTGCTCCCAGCCCTGCGAGCCGTGCTCCCCGTCCAGCTGTCAGCCACCCCACCCCACAGCCAGGCACCTGCTGGTGAAGGGGGTCACCCCAGGCCAGAGGGGCAGGCTGTGCTGGCGCGCTCAGCCGCTGTGCGTGCCCAAGCCCAGCATGGAGAAAGCCGCACGGTGCTTCCTCAGCAGCAGCCGGATCTTCTCGTCATCCGAGTCAGGGTCCAGGGGCTTGTTGTACTCATCGTCCTCGGTCTCAGAGGCCGCCCGCTCTCCGCCAGAGCCCCCCGCCCGCTGCGAGGATGAGGAGGGCTCCAGGGCGCTCTTCTTCCTCCATTTGGTCCGTCGGTTCTGGAACCAGACCTGTTGCCCCATGGGCCCGGCTCGGTTAGCAGCCAACACGCCGCGCACCCCACGCCACACAGGAAGCTGTACTCACCTTCACCTGAGACTCAGTCATGCCAAGAGAATAGGCCAGCCGTGCTCTTTCCGGACCCGCCAGGTACTTGGTCTGCTCAAACGTCTTCTCCAGAGCAAAGATCTGGTGTCCCGTGAAGGTTGGGCGCGTGTGCTTCTTCTTGTGGATGCTGTCAGCCAAGTGAGCAGGGGCTGCAGGAGAGGAAGAGAGAAGTGGCTGAGTTCTAGGCAGCCCACGACTCTGGACAGCTCTCCCTTTGTCCACACTCGCCAGCCCTCAGTGACCAAAGAGTCCCTCCACACCTGCTCCTCTCCAAATTAAAACTTTATTCCTGCTTCAGGGCTTCAGCCCCATCCCAGGAGGGCTGAGCTGCCCACTGTGGAGGTCCCACAGAGCAAGAGCTGGGATAGGCACCCCCTGATCAAGGACAGTGGATGTGCTGAGGGGTAAGGGTCGCTACCAACAGTGCTTGACCCCAGAGCCATGCAGCGCTGGGAACACCGTGCCCCATGTCCCACACCTTGCAGCATGCATGACAGAAGACAGGTCATTGCCTCGTAGCTGTGCCAGGAGCAGACGGCCAAACTGCCTAACCCATCTGCTCCAAAATCATCACCTGCAAAGGGCTGAAGGGGACCAGAGCTGCAGGTTCTGAACAGCTGCACACAACCTCCTGGGGCTTCCCATGGGATGGCGGGTGCACCCATCCCACCTACCCTCTGAGACAACATGTTCTGCAATTCCCCTGACAGCTCTCCACCAGGAAGGCAGCGCTGCCAGCCTGGAGCTCTGGGGCTGGCCCGTCTCTGCCATGAGCTAACCAGGCGCTGACCCCCAGCGAGGCTGCTTGAGAGACAGGGAGATCTTGTGAGTCAGAGGGGGCAAAGAATCAGTATTTGTCATTAGAGCTGCCCCTGCCCTTGAGCCAAAAAGTTCTGCGACCATTTGAAGTCCAGCACCTCCAGCACTGGAGCTCTCCCCACTGTCCTGGGCGAGCCTGCTGGCCAACCAACCAACAGGACAACGGCAGAGACACAGCCTGGCCCATTCCCTAGCGCCCACGGGCAGGGACTCCGCAAGGTGCCGGTCCCCTGGGGCACCCACCAGCCACCCAGCGCTCCGAGCCCCCCGTACTTACGGCCGCCGCACTGCCGGCCGCCCCGCCACTCCGGGGCCGCCTCCGCCCAGCAGCTCCGGCCCCGCGGCAGGTACTCGCCACCAGCCTTGGGGAGGGCGCCCACCTGGGGCCCGTAATAGACGCCCGGGGAGCTCAGTCCGTTAAATCCGCCCGCGTGGGGGTAGCCAGGGAGGAGAGTGCCGTTCGGGGTCGCCGCGGGCCGGCCGAGGATGTCGGAGATGCCGTGGGGGGTGCCAGCCGCCAGCTGGGCACCCAGCCCGGGGGGTGCCAGCTTGTAGAAGGAGCTCTGCACTGAGTACTGGCAAACGGGCGCCTTGGCCTCGGGGAAGGGGCCCAGCGAGGGGCCGTTGAGCAGAAAGGTGCCTGGCAGGTTGGCATCCATGGCTCTAGCACCGAGAGCTCCTCAGAGCGCCGAGCCCCGGAGGTGCGATGGCCGGCCCATTACCGCCGGCCCGGGGGGCTACAGAGCCCCGGAGTCCGCGCTGGCCCGTGGGCGGCTGGCTGGCACGGGGATGCCGGCGGGGCCGGGCCGCGGGCAGCCCCGGTGACCTCGCGGCGCCTCCGGCCCCGGACCCTCAACTTGGGCTCGGGCAGCGCCAACATTTCTCTGATAAAGACGCGGTCCATTAGAATAACGCGCAGCCATTGGCCGCGAGGCTGCGGGCGGCGCGCCCATTGGCCAGGCCTCGGCGGCCGCGGCTGCCATTGGCTGCGACTCAGCGGCAGCGCGTGATTGGTCCGGACCAGACAAATTGCGCTTTGAGCACCGGCGGCGGCGGCGGCGGGAGCGGCGGGGACGGGACGGGACGGGAGGGGAGGGGAGGGGAGACAAGACGGGACACGGGACGGGACACGGGACGGGACAGGACGGGACACGGGACTCGGGACAGGACAGGGGACACGGGACTCGGGACAGGACGGGACACGGGAATGGGACGGGATACGGGACGAGACATGGGACACCGGACACGGGACGGGACACAGGATAGGACGGGACGCGACACAGGAATGGGACGGGACGGGACACGGGAATGCGACGGGACACGGGACAGGACAGGACGGACACGGGAATGGGACGAGACACGAGACAGGATGGGACACGGGACGGAACGGGACACGGAACAGGACACGGGAATGGGAGGGGACACGACACGGACGGGACGGGACACGGGAATGGGTCGGGATGGATGTGAAGGGACGGGACGGGTCGGGATGGGCGGGATGCAGGGCCGGGGCGGCGCGGACGCTGGACAGCGCTGCTCGGGGCCGTGCTCTCGGCTGGGTCTCTCGGTGGGGACTCAGTAGCCCCGCGGCCCCGGGACACCCCCAGCAGTGTGCGGGGAGCAGTGGCACGGACGCTTCCAGAGGCCGCTCCAGGAACGGCAGAGACACGGCCGGGCCCACCCTCCCGGCAAGAGGGGACCCGGCCCCGGGCTCTCCGTCTTCCCCACCTCTGGAAAAGCAGAGACGAGACACCGTTTGTGTTGATTTATTTATTAATTCATAGTCTGATAGCTGGTGTACAGGGAAATGATCTATACATCAGGGCCTAAGACAGGGAGATCCAAAAGGCTTGTTTCCATAACAATTAAAAAAAGAAAATAAAAGTAATTTTTAAAACTTCTAAAAAGCTTCTAGTGTGCAGACTGCAGCATTCTCTAGGCTCAATGTTGGGTGCAGCCTCCCCCTACCAGCCCTACAAGCAATCTGAGCGCGAAGCAATGTCACTGCAGGTGCCTGGCACGGTTGCAGCACAGCACATTCCCTACGGCATACACAAGGCCAAAGCACTGGACCCACACACAACTCTAGGGTGATGCTACGGAGTCAGCTGTTGCAGTGGGTCTAGGGAGGTTATTGTACGCAGCAAGGGTGATGGATGGAGAGTCTGTGCCTCTATGGCTCAACTTCGGGGTGGGGAGGGGGCTGCTTTGCTCTCCAAAGCTAAGCTGGGTCAGTCGCTCGGCTGCAGCGAGGCTTCTTGGCCGCAGGGCAGCCAGGGGCTCTCCCAGCAGACGTGCACCCGCTGAAGGGCAGGGCTGCCCTGCCAAGGCCACCACCACATAGCCTGAAGCTGGAGGGGCGCTTGTTCTGCACCTGGCCGCAGAGAACCAGCTCAGACTCTGCCAAGCAGGTTCGTGGCCACGTCCAGGAGAAAGAGCAGGGGGTCCCCACAACACTGTGCTACAAAGGCCAGGTCCCCACATCAGCTGGGTCAAGGACAGGGTCAAGGACCTGGGACCAAGTGCCACTACCTTCTCCCTGCGCTCCTGGGGTCAAGTATTACAACGGGGTCAACGTGCTGCCCAACTCTGAGCTCTGCTCCTGCCAGAGCAGCCGGGCCGAGGCTGCCCCAGCCCCCAGGGCTCAGGCAGGTTCCACCTGGAGAAAATGCAGCTCCCATGTCTCTGGGTTTGGTCCCGGGAGAGTCAGTATCCAGGGCGATGAGCCCCCCTTGCAGGGAGGCCAGGGTCCCTGCAAAGCCCTTGCCTGGGGTGCGTATTGCTGGCTATTGCTAGCTCCTGGCTCATCTCCTGAGCAGATATTGTGCTGAGTAGAGCTAGGCACAACCCCACGTGTGGCACAAGCACCTCCTGCTCTCTCTCACTGCACATCCTCCCTGGGCCCCAAGCACCTCAAGGCAGGCCTACAGCTTCAAGCCAGCTGGAGCCAACACAAACTGGGGCTGGACCATGGGACTGCACCTCTAGCCCCCCCTCTTCAGGCCAGCAAGGGGCCAGGCTCAGGCAGAGGGGCACAGGACATGGGCAGGCTGCTGCCCTCTCACTCCTATTGCCTTCCTGCTCCATTCACCAGAGCTGCTCACATATTCCAAAGGCTTTGCCCATCCTGCAGCCTGAAGAGGTATATGAGAGCAGAGCTGTCAGTGCTTTGTACATACTGCTAGAGTGTCCCTAGGGGTTTGCATAGTATTTATTGGTTCATATACACAAGGCTGATTGCTGTACAGTTTACACTTTCAACATAAGCAACGAGCTCAGTGCTCAGCCCAGAGCTCTGCCCTGACGGGAGACTTTGCACGTGCTGGGGAGAGGAAGGGCAGCCCTGCACCAGTCCCTCTGCCCAGGGCAGCTGTGCTCCCTGCAGCCTCCCCTTGCACCCTCTGGCCACTGCTGCCCCCCCCAAAACCCAACACTCACAGGGAGGGATGAGAAGCAAGTCCAGCAGAGGCAGCACAGGCATTTGCGGGGGGGCCAAGCACCTCTCCTTCCACGGTGAGCAGTGCCATGCTGTCCCAGCTTTCCTCTTGCAGCTGGAGCACAGACGTGGGGATGCATCCACACGCGGAGATGGAATCTCCTTTCCCTCTCGTTTCCTTCTGCTCCAGCTCTTGCCTCCCAAAGGAGCTGAGAGCATGCCCCTGGTGTGTGGTGCTGTCTCTGGGCTCCTGGCAGCAGCGGGGCAAGGATGGAGGCCCCTCGTCTGGTTTAAGAACTGTAGCTCATGCGTCTTGCAGTCAGTCAGTCATGCGGATAGGACGGTAAGTATATCTCATACAGAAATCATGCCATTAGCCTATAGAAACATGTACAGCCAGCCCTGCTCCCCTCCACTCTCTGCTCTCCTCTCCTCTCTCCTCAGGTATGTGTCAGAACGTGTGTGAAGTTCAGTGGTTTGGTGTTGAGGTGCGATCCTGGAGAGACACAGAGAGACACAGAAATGCAGGGGTTACCAGGCATTCATGGTGGCACACCCAGGATTAATGGTGGGGACAGCCAGCACATGGCTGGCAAGTCCCTTCTGTACACTGTGCTTGTCCCACATGCACCCATGCTGCCAGGCAACCACAAGACAAGTTTTGGGGGGTGTCAGACCGTGACAGAGCACCACTGAGTGGCAGGCCTGGAACCAGGAGCGATGACATCGATGGTACTGATGGTGCTGCCCCATCTGCACCGGGCAGCAAGCAGCAGCTGAGCTGGACCAGCTGCAACGTGGCACTGGGAGGGAGCTGGGAGGGCTGCTCCAGGATCTGGGGTGGAGGAGGCCAGCCTTGAGCCCCTCACCTCAGCTGGAATGACTGACTGCACCCCACTCTCCCAGCAGAGAGGAAGACCTCCCCCAGTGCACACCCAGGGCCACTTTCACACAGTGGAAAACTGCAAAAGCAAAGCAACAGGAGCGGTGCCCCAGAGAGAGGCAGAGCCAGGGACTGTCCGGGGAGTGGGGCAGGCAGAGGGGGACAGAGTCTGCATGAACATGTGCCCACAAGCATAAGCCCTTCACACACCCACAGAGAGCTGACTAACAGAGCAGAGAGAGAAGGGAGAGGGAGGACAGAGCGAGGCATGCGTGTACAACAGAGGCCAGAGGACAAACTGCCCCTGCTTGGCAGCCTCCTCCCAGGAGGAGCACACATGCAACACCTTCCCCCAGTGCTGCACTGTCAGCCCAGCAGTGAGTGTGCAGAGAAAAACGATGCAGCTAGGCTCAAATGTGCTGTGCCAAGCAGCCTGCCTTCAACCTGGTAGTCCCACTCTACAGGGAAGGCAGGGGATCAGGGAGTGTACAAGACTTAAGGGGTCATTCTGAGCTCAGTGAGGATCAATGGAAGAAAAGTCCTAAGTCAAAGGCAGGTGCCCTGTTGTCAGCCCCTACAAGTGTCACGTTCCTGCAGCTGCCACTCCTGCATCCCTACTGCCCAGACATTCCCCAGCAGCACCCTGCCAAGGCCAGCTCCATCCTGCCTTCAGCAGACCTCAATGCTTTGCTCTGCGTGGCTGGCAGAGGCAGCAGCTGCATCTCCCACAGCAGTGCTGTGAGCAGAGGCAGCACCCAGGGCCCCACAGAACCAGGACACCCTTCACCTGACCCTGAGCTCTGCCAGAGCTCAGCTGCACCCCTCGGGAAGGGCACCAGCTCCAAGGGCTGGTCTCACTGCCACAAGGCTGCAGTTAGTGCTCATGCATGAAGGGGGTGGCTCTGCTCAGACCCCATGCAAATGCAATCTGGTCCCCGGAGCGACTTGGACAAAGACCATCCCTCTGTCTGCAGCCCAGAGTAACCAGGAGTAACAACTCTGTGACCCTGCCACTGGGGACACCCCCCTGAGCACCCACGTGCTGCCACTGCAGCAGCAGCCCTTGGCACCGGGGCTGCACTGGGGTGCTGTGCACGCAGCTGGCTGCAGCACCGCTGCACACCAGGGCACCCTATGCAGCCAGGAGCAGGTTATCAGCAGGGCACACTGCTGCCCACCCCCAGCCCTTTGCTGCAGCACAGCAAAGCCTCTCTGCAGGCCAAGAGCTGGGCACTGCCCCACCACACCTTCCCCAGGAGAATGTGCATGACCAGCAGCTCAGTGCAGGCAGCAGCATGGAGAGCCAGGGCAGAAGGAAGAGCAAAGGTAGGGTTACCTCAAAAGAGGCCATTTGAGGGGTCACTGCTTCCCCCTTTTCAGGCTGGCTCGTTTCACTATCTGAGCCCCCATCCTGCCCCCAGAGACCTCTGGTTTCGGGACACGCACTCGCACCTCCTCCTGAGGAAGCCGAAGGGGCAGGAAGCAGGACATCACCCAGGTGAACAGACAGACAGAGAGAAAAGGACAGGAAAGGGAAAGGTAGAGTCAGTTGGCAGGCAGAAAACACCAAGCAAGAAGACTGGCGCAGTGGGCAAGATTTGCCTTAGAAGTCTTAGAGGGGAAACAGGAGAGGAGTGCAGGGCAGAAGAAAGGACAGAGGGTGACATTGACCCAAAGCCTGAGAGTCCTGCTGAAGTCCTGAGAGTCCTGGGTGCTGGCCCAGGCAAGGCAGGGCTGTGAGCCACACTGTACCTTGGCGCCCAGACCATCCCGGTGCAAGATGGAGTATTTCATGAAGTGATCCTCCTCAGCCTCCAGGTCTTGGGGCTCCTGTAGGGAGCCCTCCAGAATCAGCTCCTCCTGTTCCTGCCTGTCACCCATGTCACCAGGGCCCAGCTGACGCACCACCTTCCGGATAATCTGTGGAGACCCACACAGCTGGGCGTCACAGCCGGCCCCAGGGCACCACGACTCCCTCCCCACCCAGCCCGCTCCCAAACTGCACGTGGTGCGCAGCCTGCCCCATGAGCTGGAGGAGTGCCGTGACTGTAACCGAAGACAGCAGGACACCAATGCCCTACATGGGCCCCGGGCTACAGGGGTGGAGGGGAGAAGAGAAAGGCTGCGGCATGCCCTTACCCACATCCAGCCGCTGATCACTCACCTTCTTGGTGATGATATTGCCTTGATCATCTGTGAACTGCTCCTCGGTCACCTGCTCTCCAGGGAGATGAAGGGCTTCATTCCCCTGCAGGAACAGGAGGGAGATCAGGCCATGCGAGGGCGGTGAGGGGAGTCGTTTACCTGGTCGAACAATACACCTGGCGTGCACCCCGCAGCCCCGGTGTCCCGCCCTGCCCTGCCCGTCTCTGCTCTCCTGTGTCCGTCCCGGGGCCGGTCCCTCGGCTCGCCCGCTCGTTACCTTCAGGAGGAGGCGCCGGCGGACGACTCTGGCCGAGAGAGCCTCCTCATCATCCGCCAGCCCCTGGCTCTCCCCGAGCTCCTTGTCCAGCTCACGGTGGGCGTGTTTGAGCAGGAAGCGGACTGAGCCCCTGACGATGTGCATGACGTTCTGGCAGCTGACCAGGAAGAAGGCCAGGAGCACCAGGGCGATCAGCAGCTGGGCCAGGAAAGCCCACATCCTTCCTCCGGCCGCAGGCTGCCGCTGTCAGCGCTCAGCCATGCCCGGCAGCGCCCGGCTGGAGCCGCAGCTCCGCCGGCTGTGGGCGGCGAGAAGGGAGCGGGCAGGTGGAGCGTCCTTTGCGGGCTCAGCTTCGCTCCGAGTCATGTGGCCGGCACTGCCCCGGCCAGGCAGGGAGCAGGACAGCTCTGTCCCTCTCCTCTGTCACCTTTCCAACAGCCTGTCCCCCCCTGGTGCGGTGGGAGGGCGGCGTGCGCTCCTCCGTCACAGGACAAGTGAAGCCCTGGGCAAAAGCCAGGGCTTTGGGGTGTCACTGGAATGACAGTGACTCAGGTAACGCGGAGCTGAACAGTCACCTCCAAGCGTGGCTGTGCGTGCCCTGGCTGGGGAAAGGTGCTTGCCCTCACCTTGTACCTGCTGGCTCTGTGTGACCGTGGCATCAAGCCCACCACCCAACCTGGCCCCCTAGACCAACTCTATTTCTGGCTCCAGCAGGCTGCTGGGCTGGCAGCCAGGGCAGATACTCAATAAGGAACAAGTCTGGAGGGTGACTGGGTTATAAATGGAGAGCAAGAGCTCAGGTATCAAGCACAGCGGGCTATTCTGGGCTGAGAGGCACCCCAAGGGGCAGGAAGTATGCTAGGAGAGTTGAGGAGCTAGCACCTGGTCTGCCTGACGGGCCTTGCAGCAGGCTCCAGAAAAGGCTGTCCATAGGGTCACCACTTTCCTGCAGGGCTGACTCCCCTGCTCCTACCCTCACCTGCCCAAAGAAGCGGCTGTCGGCCTCCTCCTGCCAGCCGCCTGTGGGGTGCTGAGGCTGCCAGTCGCTGTCCTCTGCAGAGCTGATCCGCATCAGCTCCGTGGCTGGCACCAGGACCTGCTCTTGCTGCTGGCCCTGTGCCCCAGAGGCTGTGGTGTGCGTTGGGAGCAGCCTTCGGGTGACTCCCTCCTGCCAGGAGCCCGCTGTCAGGTCCTGTAGGCAGGAGATAAAGGAGCCTTCTGCATTCCAGTCCCTCAGCCTGGGCACCAGAGAGGGACAGGGATAGGGAGAGAGAGACAGAGAGAGAGAGGCAGTCAGCTTTGCAGGGAGTGCTGCACCCTGAGCACCAGCCGAGCTCCGGCAGGCACACCTGCACCCCGCAGGCGCTGGCTCCTCTCCCCAGCTCGCAGCACTGCTGGGCGCCTGGCAGAAGCAGCACAAGACACACGGATGCACAAAAGGCACAGGCCACCTCTATGCCATGCTCCCTGCCCATCCCACAGCCTCACAGCTCGGCGGCCAGGGTCTGAGGCAAGAGCTTGCTGTGCTCTCACGGTCTAGTGTGGTCTAGCTCTAACTCTAATGTGGTCTAATGCTGTGGAGCATTTCTGGGTGCTGCCAGGGACTTTGTGGGTCCAGTGCCACTGGGAATGTGGGAGGAGGCAGCCCAGGTTACAGTTAGCACTTATAAGTACAACCTACATGCAGGGCCTGGCTGACTGGGGTCTCTTCCAGGTGCTCTGCAAGGAGCCCTCCAGAGCATTGCCAGAAAGGCCCAACCATCCTTCCATGTACTGCAGATGCCTGGGCTCCAGAGCTGGAGACCAGCAGGGAAGCAAGCAAAGCAGGGAGATTCTTGCAGCTGGCCCAGCACAGGGCTGTAGCTGGCAAAGCAGTTGTGCTCCCCTACCACGGTCACCCTGGTGCCCCAGGCTGCAGTACCTGTCTGCACTCTTCTCCACATCATGGCTAAAGGTAGGTGATGTCATGATCCTGGTTTGCACCTTCTCCTGAACTGAAACAAAAGAGACTTCACTCTCCGGGTCCTGCTCCCCAGTCCCTGGTTGATGATCACCAGATGGCATCTTCCCCTCTGGCCTCTGCCCCTCCTCCTGCTCTAGAAGGTCAATCAGGCCATTCATGGCATCTGAGTCCACTGTGTCATCCTCAACCAGGTCCATAGAGCCCATGTGGTCCGGGCCATGAGCATCTGCTAGAAGTTGCCCTGGGAACCGGCCTTCGCTCGTGGCATCCGAGTCCTCAGCCTTGCTGCACTCCAGAGAGGAGTCCTCAGCAGTCACCAGCGAGGGGGTGAGCCCCGAGGACCACACCTGCATGTCGGACATCTCCATCAGGGCATCCTGCTCAGTGGCAGCCATGGGGATAGCATCCATGATGGCCACCTCATTCCAGTACTGGTCGGCACGCAGCGGGGATGGCAGTGTGTAATGCAGGGAGGCAGGGGACAGCAGCTCGTCCTGCAGTGAAGCGTAACCTATATGGGCAGACAGAGGCATCATGTCCAGCAGCCACCTCACGCACGCACAAGCACAGTAGGGCAAAAGGGAGGCAGCTTCTGGGAGGATGGCAGCCCCAAGGACAGCAATGATCATGCCACAGCCCCCTGTGGCCAGGCTGAGCAGGGCTGTGCTCACAGCGGCGGCTGCTTTCACCTGGTCCCTGCAAATGCTGCCATGCCTCCCCTTCAAATCCTGGGGCTGGTTTGGGCAGGTCCTGGGGCTGCCTCCTCCCTGTGAGGAGGACTGGCCTGGTGTTCACACAATTCTCCATCCACACTGCAGGACACAGTGCCCTCTTTGCTACCCTGCTCCATCAGACCCCCTGGTCCCTGCCCACAGCCCCCATCCAGCACCAGCTGGCTGTTAGCCTGGAGTTCAAGTAGCCAAGTCTGGCAGGCACCGACTCTCAAAGCCAAACACTCTCCACAGCACAGAGGAGCAGGTTGGAAGTTCCATGAGCAGAGAAGAATGGCCCAGAACATGCCATGCAACCCCAAGGCCCTGCAGAAGGCAGCCAGGGCCTTACAACCCCTCTGGTGTCCCCAGGGCTACAAGCCATTGTCACGTCTCATTGCCCAGGGCCACGTGCACAGCTCAGGCACATCCACATGAACTACAACCAAGCCAGGCACTCCCACCCATGCAGGTGGCTTTGCTCAGCCTTTTTCAGCTTTGAGCCATTTTTTCACCCCAGGAGATCAGCAGCGAACCTGTTCTGCTGCCCTGGCAGCCAGGGAATGCCAGCCACAGCCAAGGCACAGCGTACAGCTGGGACCCTTGGCACAGGAAGGGCACCTCACCCATGGGCACCCAGGTGCCTGGCCAGGGGCATGCAGTGCAGTGCCAGCGAGGGAAGGAGCGTGGGACTGTGCAGGAGAAGAAGGCCTGGGATGGCTGCCTGCAAGCATGACAGCTGTAAGAGGGGTAGTCCCTGATGACATGCAGTCGCTGGAGCAGGATGCGGCTCCCAGAGGGCTTAGCTGAGGTGGAGACAGTGGAGACAGGCAGTGGAAGATGAGAGAAGGAGAGGCCAGGATGAGCTCAGAGGAGAAAGATGAAAAGAAGTGACCCACAGGAGTGCCCGCACCTGGCAGCACTAGGTGGCATGTTTGAGAAAACAGAACAAGGGGAGAGACAGAGAGGGAGAGAGCGATGAGCCAGCGCTGCAGGGCCAGAGGCACAGTGCAGGGCTGTAGCAGCACAAAGCCCTGCCCCTGTCTGGTGTGCCGGCTCCCCAGCAGCATATGCCACAGCTGACTCTGGCTGTGTCCCCACATCCAGGCCCACTCTGCCTGGGACCCAGCCCAGGCACACCACCACAGCTGTACAGCCAGGACTCAGTGAGCTCCCTGGCCACTGATCAGCTTGCACAGCCAGAGACACCTCTCACCTCTCACCCTGGGACAAGGAACACCTGTCAATCCCACCTGGAGAGTTTCTGAGAAAGCAGCATGGCAGAGCCAAGCTTTCTGCAGCATAAGCCTCACTGAAGAGGCCACATCTGTCAGCAATGCCTCGTGCCCACTCAGTTCTCAGTGGGTGCAACCTGGTCAGGCAAGACACCAGCCCCAATCTCTGCACAGACTGTGCTCCCAGGGCCCTCCTGCATTCCCTGCCAGAAGCTGGGGCTCACCATTCATCTGGGATGGTGAGAGGGAGTAGTCTCTGTCTGTGTAGCGCCAGCTTCCCTTCAGGCTGCGGCTCTGCCGGCCGGAGCCCTCCAGCATGTTGACAATCTCGCTGCGGTCGATGTTCCTCAGCGCCGTGTACAGGTTCTCAACTGCAGGGGGAAGATGGTGTCAGCAAACTGATCCCTTGGGGAGATGCAGCCATGCCCCAGACACCCTCCAGCTGGGCAGGGAAGGCAGAAATGCATGAACCACCACTGTAAAGCCAGCCAGTGGTCCTTGAAGAGGCACACGCTGCTCTGCACAGCTAGCCCTGCCGCCTCTGTGCCTGTAAAAGGGCACCACAACTACTCACTCTTGACATCCTTGCCCTCACGGCTGGCCCAGAGGTTGAGTAAGGCTATGCTCTGCTCCAGAAGGGAGTTGGGGTTCTCCACACGTATCCTGTTGATGTCATCCACCCCAAACTGCAGCTCACGTGCCAGCTCTGGGGAAAACACCACGTCAGTCTCACACCTTCTGGTGCCCACCACAAGGCTAGGGGTGCTGTGAAGGGCTCAGCAGAGACCCTCTGTTACACACAGCTGAACACAGCAGAACATGCAGGAGCTGGGATGGGGCAGGGGTTGAAGCCCCCCTGCCCAGGCTGGCTGTGACCAGCACAGTGGGGTCTCATGATAAGAAGTGTGGGCTCTGCTGTTGGATGTGTGGCTGCCACGAACAGCAGCAACATGTACAGCTCCTAACAAAGGCCTAGCCTGGTGCCCATGCACGTGAATAGGTGCACAGCCACGGGAAGGTTCACTTCAGTGCCCTGGAAGGCTCACAGCAGGCGTGCCCTGCAAAGCAGTCACTACACCTGGCAGCACACTTCCAGCCTCCCTAAGTGTCAGCTTTCCCAGGGGTGTTGTGCATCCTCAGAACCACCAGGTGTGGACTCACCAGCCCAGCTGAGGCCCAGCTGCTCTGCTATGTCGACCATCTTCTGGTCTGCCTTGTCAGTGCTGCTCAGAGAGCCTGGAGGAGAAGAGGGAGTCACAGCTCAGCTGCACCAGAGCAGCGAGGGGAATGGGGGCTGGCCATGGGGGTCACACAGACCCCTAGGCACAGCACTGCCCTGCAGGCAGGACCAAGGGCACCTTCAGGGAAAGGGAAGTTGCTGTGAGTGCAACTAGGACAGGATCATCCCAGCTGTCCACTGGCTTGGGCACCCCAAGTGCAGGTAGTGAGTGGGCTGGAATGCTCCCAGCAGGCTGCATACCAAAACTGGTCTCACTGAGGATGCTGTATCGTTCCCGCAGGGACAGTGGTGTCAGCGTCCTCCTTCGCTCATCACTGCCACTTCCCTGTGAAATGGTGACAAACCAAGGGGTCAACAGCTTGAAAAGAAGGCAGCAGCTCTGCCCTGACTGCTTCTCCTTCACCTCCTGAGTGGCATGACATGGCCGCATGGAGCGGGTGAAGAAAGCTGACAGCAAGAGCTGTCCCCTGCACTTGGAGAAGGGATGGGCCCTCACTGCCCCCTTCCAGAGTGCCAAGGACCCTCCACTGACCTTGGTGCAGGGCGGTATGCTGATGTTCAGGTGGCAGAGCACGTGCTGGAGGTCCTCGTATTTCATGGCCTTGCGCAAGAAAGACAGGGAGCCACTGGCTTCCCGGCTGCTGTCCCGCACCTGAGTGCCAGAGCCCGGTTAGGTGGTTTGGCACCAGCCAAGGGCCCTAACTGCTTGCTCAGTCCTGTACCCTGGTGTTACCTTGATGGGAATGACGAGACGATTCTCGCGGAAGGACTGGAAGAGGAAGGTGCGGGGCTGAGCGGCCTTCTTGACAGGCACCAGGTTCCCTGAGAGTTCCACGTGCAAAGGCATTCCCTCCACCACCTGGCCAGGAGCAGAAAATGTGCTCAGACCCTGTGCAGAGCTGCTCCTCCTGCTGCTGGACAGGGCAGGTAGCCCTGACTGTCCCAGAGCCAGGCTCTTACACTGCTATCAGCCTCCCCTCACTTTGTTATCCCTCTCCCTGCCCTCCACACACGCTGCTGGTGACAAACCTCAATGTCCCTGCTGCGGGCCACCTCGGTGAAGTTCTCATGCTGCTCTAAAGTCTTGTCAACCTTGTCATCAGTCATGCAGTAGCAGCGCAGCCGGCCTTCCCGCGCATCGTTCATCTTGGCAAACACCACGAATTTGGCCATGTAGGGCACGGCTGTCAGCTCCTTGTACAGCATGGTGGCAAAGTGCACGGCCTCAGCTGTGCGTGGGCAGTCTGCCAGCCAGAACCTGCAGGAGATCTGGGTCGGGGTGCTGCTGCTGGGTGGTGGCACCAGGCAGCTGCCCCCACTCCCCTCAACAGCCAGCTGGACTGCAAGGGAAGCCCCAAGAGTTCTGGACACAGGTGTAACCCCATCTTGGATGGGGAACCAGGCAAGTACAAATAATGGTCCCCTTCTGCACACCCAGCTGTCATGACTATTTCCTGAAGTTTGCTCAGGCAGCATGGGGGTCTCAAAGCCAGAGGAAACCACCCTGCATGTAGGAATAGGGCAGCACAGCACCGGGGGTAAGGGGCTTCTCCTGGCAAAGGCTGTAGCAAGGCCCAAGGAGCACCAGATATCCTCAGATGGGCACACTTTTGCCCAGGACTCACCTGGCAGACACATTGGTGGTAAAGTTAGCACACTCATTTTCATAGACTAGCTTTGTGGTGCCTGTTATGTCTTCCCACTGGGCTTGGGCTGTCCCTCCTGCAGCAGAAAGCAAGGGTGAGCATACTGTCTTTCCATAAGCCCGGGGTTCGCATCCCCATGGCATTTTCTTTCTCCACAGCTGTGCTCCCTGGAGCTGCATCCCCCTGAGGCAGCCCAGCCCATCCCCACGGAGAGCAGGCCTGCAGCCTCACCGATGACACTGCAGAGCAGACGCAGGCTGGTGGTGTCACCCTCACCACTGTCCCGGGGATTGTCCTTCCAGGAGGGTGGCAGCGGGATCCGGAGGCCGATGGGGCGGTGGAACTTCCTCCGTCGTGGCTCCACGGTGACAATGGGGCTGAAGGTCGCTTGGTTCCCCAGCAGCTTGGTCACCAGCTCATCAGGCACAGGCTGTGCCTGTGGGTAGCACAAGGATGGGCATCAGGGATGGCTTTTCCCCAGGATGGGGCACAGCCTGGGCTTGCTGCCCACCCCTGATTGCAGAAGCGTGTCTGAGCCCCAGGCCAGGCTCTCTGAGGCTCACCTGCAGGGCCAGCCTCACTCTTTTGGTGACAGCAGTGTCTGGGAAGGTGGCCTGCACCATGGGCACCAGTGTGCTTTTCAAACACCCTCCCTCAGGGCCAATCATATCGCAGTCCTGGCAAATCCGGGACATGACCACGAAGTAGAGAGGGAAGTCGGTGGTGATGATGCGGCAGACCCTCTTCTTGTCCAGCTCCTCCTGGCTCTCCAGCTCTGCAGGGGCAGCACAGCCATCAGTGCTCACACGCCAAGCCTGTGCCTGTCACTGACCACACCACTCAGCCCCACTGTTGCAGTGTGATGTCATGACTTGCCTCAGTTTCCCCTGGTTTCTCCCTGAAATTTCCTTCCCCGGGGGGGTGTCAATCACCTCTCCTTTTCCCCACCCTTGACCCCTGCTGGGCACTATCAACCCAGAAATTCCAAGGAGAGCATGGAGTGATTGGCAGGTTCAAAGGATGCTCTCCACTCCCTGGGGGGCCATTGGCCCACCCAGGTGTCCTTCTCACCTGAGACCCCCTCCCACTGTACCTGGATGGTGGTCCCTGTGTTCCCTCCCCTGCCCCTGTCCCCAGGTAAAAGGGCGAGCAGACCACGAGGTCAGGGTTCTGTAGGAGAGTTCAGATGGAGAGTTCATTGGAGTTGTTGCAAGATTCAGAGGCTGTGCCACCAAAATAAAAACTCTGGATTAAAAACTCTCCATCAGGACCCGTTCCTTTCTTCACCAAGCCTTAGAGGTTCCTCCAGCTCAGGAAGGCCTGAGGAGTGACCTCTCAACAGCAAGCTCCAGCTGCAAGCACTGGAGCTCGGGGCATGCCCGGACTTGTCTCCACATGCCCAGCTGTGACCACAGGTACTGAACAGCATCTCTGGGGAGGAAGGACCACAGGTGCCGCTATTCGGTCAGCAGCCGAGACCAGACAGACCAAGGCAGTCCCGTCAGTAATTCTGGTACACTCCAATACCCCAGGCCACCGCAGCCCTGCCTGCAGGGAGCTGTCAGGCGTGGAGCCCCTGCCCTCCTGGCACGCTCACCCTCGTCCATGCCGTTGAGCAGCTGGTCCATGTAGCTCTCCTCGTAGCGGTTGCGGTGCTCCTTCCACACGGAGCCGTTCTCGCTGCGCAGCACCACCAGCTCGCGGTCCCCGCGCCCATACGAGGCAAAGTGGGGAATCTCCACAATGACAGGGCTGCAGAGAGCACAGGAAGGTCGCTGGCACACACAAGCTGCCACAAGGACACGCGGGCAGCAAGGTGGCCCCTGTGTAGCTTTGATATTTTATGAAAAATCCTTTGCTGGGATTTTTCCCCTCCTGAGGAGCTGAGGAGCCTCAGGAAAGAAATGTAAGCAATAACTGTCTGCTGCTGTGGAATGCAACAGGTGCAGCTGTGTTTGGTGCATGTTGGTTGTTTCTAATTAAGAGCCAACCACAGATGCAGCTGCATTGGACTCTGAGAGTCACAAGATTTTGTTATTCATTCTATTCTTGTTCTTTCTAGCCTTCTGATCAATCTTTTCTCTCTGTTCTTTTAGTATAGTTTTAATGTAGCATTTTAATATAATATATATCATAAGATAATAAACCAGCCTTCTGAAAATGGAGTCAAGCCTCGCATCTCCACACATGGGGAGTTCCCAACAGCCCTGGGCCCTGGGGAAGAAGCAGTGCTGACCTCCCTCTCTCTGCAAAGAGGGCTCTGCACCTGGTGGGACAGGGCTTTTCTGACTCTGTTCTGTTACTCTTGAGTGACCCATGCCAGAAACATGCTGCACCCCACAAAGAGGTGGGATCTCTCCTCTGGCAACCTCAAGAAGCAGGTACAGGCAGAAGTCTTGCCCTGTAGGGTAAAGCCCTCCAGATGAACCCAGATCTGTTCCCAGTCCTGAGGAATGACCCTGCTGTGGGCAGCCCAATCTGCTCTTTTCCCAGCTGTGCTCACCTGAGGAACTGGGCACCAGCAGGCCCCAGAGCAATGATCCGACTGCCCAGACCCTCCTCCTCAGCCAGTGGTGGGGGTGCAGGCAGCTTTTGGGGCTTCACCAGGCGGCAGGTAATGCGGGTGGGTGCAGCACATGCGCGGGGCGGGATGACCACACGCAGACCGTGGTGCCGGCTGCCCCGCATGGAGCCACCACGAGCATCCACCATGAAGCTCACCAGGAACCTGCATGGGACAGAGGCACGGGCACGTGGGCACCTTGCAGCCAGCTGGTGAACAGAGCACGCCTGTGCTGCACAGGTGGGCACTCACCCTGTGTGCACGGGGCTGGCCACGGGACTGATGTTGTCTGAGGTCTCAGTGGCAGGGCTGCTGGGGATCAGAGAGTCCTCGTCGAACTCTTTGGAGGGCTGTGTAAGGCAGGGAAGAGACCTTGTGGGCAAAGGGTCCTGTCTGGGGGTGCTGAGCCTGCCCACCCTTACACAATCCTCACTGGACAGTCCTGTACCACCGGGTCAGTGCCCATTACCCACCACACACTTGAGCTCTGTGGTGATGGGGGAGCTGCCCCAGCAGGGAATGCCTGGGGGAGGCCATGGCAGGCTGTATCTCATGCTCACCTCCTGTGGGGACACCGAGGGTGCATGCAGCAGGCTGACTTGCTCAGCTTCTGTCTCCACAGGTCCTACCTGCTCAGTCTCCTCAGCTCTGGTCACCACAGTTTCAGGTGGGATGCAGGGGACCTGCAGGACAGCTGGAGACTCCACCCTGGCAGGAGAGGGTAGTGACAGGCACAGAAGTGGTAGGGTCCCTCAGCCCTTGCCCATCCCCATGGAGTCCTGGGGCCTCTGGACAAAGGCAAACTAAGCAGCAGTCCGCAGTCCTGGTGCAGGAGCAGCACTGACCAGCTCTGCCTGCTATGCCAGCCAGCGAGGGCTCAGTGATCTGTTCCTTGCCCAGAGCCTTTTGTGCCCCTTGCCCAGCACAAGGCTGGTCCTGTGCCCTGTACCTGCTCCCTCCCCACCATACAGTGTCTCTTACGTTTGCTCCAGTGTCGTTGTGGTCATGAACTCCAGTATCTCTCTTTTGCCTTCCTGCTCTCTGAGATCAGGTGTCTTGGGCTTTGGTGCAATCAGCTCTTCCTCTGAAACCAAGAGCTGGCTCAGCAAGCAGAGGCAGATGGACAAGGAAACACAGGTATCCAGCACTTGCCCCCACCCCTCCTCAGGGCTGGAGCCAGGGCCCATCCCTGCTCCCACTGCTGGACACACACACACACATTTGCCCCCTGGGTCTCAGCCAGACACAGGGAGGGCTTTGCTGTCTGCACAATGGGTCAGCTGGCAGGGCAGGCCAGCGGGACAGGAGCTGTGGGAGCCACCAGGAAATCTGGCTGCTCACTAACCTCTTTCTCACAGCACCAAACAGAGTGCAGAGACTGCGGGGGACACCTTACGCTTTGATGCCTGGGACAGGGACATGGGCACAACTGGGGGTGCAGGAGGCTGCCCTAACACTGCATCCCACTGGAGGCACAGAGCTCTGCTAATGTGACCACTGGCCCCATTAATACCTGCTAGCTAGCTCATCAGAGTTTGGCTCTGGCCAGTGCCCTGTGGAGGGTCTCCAGCACTTCCTGCAGCACACAGAGTGCCCCAGAGATGGGGAGGGGACCACAGCAGCACAGAGACCCTTGAGCTCTCAGGGGAATCCCTGCTCTGGCCAGGATGGCATGGGGCAGTTGCGGAGGGACACCAGGGATTGTCACAGGTTCCTCCACCTGCCATGGACAGGGCCTGGGTCTGACAAGGGGGTCAGGGTCCTCCTGAGTGGGAGGATGCCCGTTCATGCAGTCACACCACAGCAAGCAGCACGGACATGGATTGGCAGGGTAGGATGGCAGGGCTGGCGCTGCAGAGCACCAGACCAGCAGCAAGGCTCAGCAGATGGACACGGCGTGCGGATGGTTAGTGGCCATGGGGTGAAATGGGCCATTGAGCTGGGGCAGGGGGACACATTTCATACCCATTACTGTGACATGAGCAGTGCCTGCAAAGTAAGAAGAGGCAAAAGTGAGGTATTGGTGGGAGGGGGCGGGAGCAAACCAGCTACAGCTGGGCTGGGAGCTGGTACCCTCCTTGCCTGAGCAAGGCACAGTGGGGGCTGTGCATGCTCAAGGGCTCTCTGCACAGTCCCTGGGCCATGGGATCACGGAGATGTCCAGACATATCCCTCCTGCATAGTGCAGGGAAGCACCCAAAGCTGGAGGTGCCACCTCAGGAGTCTGGTGGGCTTCCCTTGTCCTCTCTGCAAGACCACAGCAGGGCCCACACAGCTCCCTGGCCTGGGGGTGTCCCTGTTCCAGCAGGAACAACAGTGCCATCCCCTTGACTGCTGCCTGCCATACTGACCCAGCCAGCAGATCTCTGGGATGCTGTGACCCAACTCCCACCCCTCACCTTCATCCTCTGATACGTCCAGAATCTCATCTACAGTCTCTGGGAAGCTCATGCGGTGCTTGTCGCCAACGGACTGTGGGAGCAGAGCAGAGCAGAGTCAGAGGAAGCCAGCGTTTTTCTGCACAGCTATCTGACTAGGCACCCAGCTGCAGACCTTTCCCAGACTGCTCCCATTCCCAGCCCTCCTCAAGCATCCTGCTCCCAGTACCCAGGAGCTCACCGGGATGTCGATTTCCTCTGTGACAATCTTGAGCACGTCCGTGACGGAAATGTAGCCAAGCCTCTTTGCGATGGCCAGGGGAGTGGTGCCGTTCTGTGCACGGAGGAAAGAGGGTCAGCAGCAGCCACAGGGCAGCTCAGGCAGCTGTGCCTGAGCTTGGCACGGCGTGGAGAGGTGCGGGGAAGCCTTGTGCTCACCGTGCTGATCTCGTTGGGGGACGCGCCATGCTTCAGCAGCAGCGTCACCACGTCCGTGTGGCCCTGCTGTGCTGCTTGGTGCAGGGGGGTGTAGCCCAGCTGCAGGGGAGGACAGAGGGTGCTGCCATCAGTTCTGGAAGGCTGCTGCCCCAGAAATGTCCCCAGGCCTCACACAGGGCGCTCCATGCCTGGAGCAGGAGGACAGCTCCCCCTCCCCATCAACCTGCATGCTGTCCCCACAGCAGGAGGGTCCTTGGAGCACAGGACCCCTCTGTACCTTGGTCTTGGCGTTGACATCCGCTTGGTGCTGCAGCAAAAACTTCACCAGCTTGATGTTCCCATAATGGCTGGCCACGTGCAGAGGGGTATAGCCCATCTGAAAGACAAGATCAGGGCTCAGTCTGCCCTCACCACTGCTTACTGCTCTGCTGGCTTGGATATGCCCATCCCACAGGCAAGCCCCCATGCAAGAAGGATCAGGCATGCATGTGGGGGTTTCCCAAAAGCCCAAGACCAAAGCACAGGGCTTCAAACCATGTTGTACTTGTGGGTACAGAGGTGAGCTACATGAGCAGGCAGGAATCACCCCTCCAGAGAGGTGGGAGGAAGAGGAGGAAAAGTCCCCAGGGCACAGGCAAAATGATAAGGATGGCTGCTAGAAGGGAGTCTCTTGCACAAAGGAAAAGAAAAGAAATGCTCTTCCCTGAGCAGTCTAGAGGTAGTTCCCCCCATGTGTTTCACCAAAGCCATGGTCAATGCACTACTTTACCCTGGTCACTGCATCCACTGTGACTCCATGTTTCACCAGAACATCAGCAACCAGCACGTGCCCCTCTTGGGCCACAAGGTGGAGAGGAGTCAGGCCACTCTGCAAAGAGAGGAGGTCTCAGCACGGTGGCACTGCCATCGCTGCAGGTCCAGCAGCAGAGACTCTCTTGGGTCTCCAGCCTGGCAAACTGACAGTGTGTGCTGCCCAAAGGCAGGGAGGCACAGGGGCCTGGACCACCATCCAGGCTGCTGTCCTCTGCTGGCTTCTTTGCCTCCAGCCTGGCAGGATGCACTGGGACAACTTACCTTGTTGCCTAGGTTGCCATTGGCTTGTTTGGAGAAAAGCAGTGCCACCATGTCTGCATGCCCCTCCTGGGAAGCCAGGTGCAGGGGAGTGACTCCCTGCATGGACTCAGCGTTCGCAGAGGCCCCATACTGCAGCAGGCTGCTGGCCACTTCCATCTGGTTCTGCTTGGCAGCGATGTGCAGGGGGGTGTACCCATTCTGCAGGGAGAGAGGCTCATTGCAGTGCCCAGCCCTGCCAAGCACACCAGAAAGGACAGGAGGTGCCACCCTACCCCTGCAGGCCAGGCCTGCCCTTCCTAGCTGCCTCCAGAGCTCAGGAATGTCCCCCCCTCACCATCTCTCTGACAGCAACCAGCCTGACACTGGTGCCAAATCCCACTCACTCTTCAAGCCAAGTCAGCAGGGGGGGTTTCAAAGACCACCTGCTTCAGTTTCAACCGCTATGGGCTGTCCTGGATTTTTCTGCACATGAATTTCTGCAGCAGTATGCAGCCTCTGAGAGCTGCAAAAAGCGGCTGGAACGTGCCTGGCTGAGGTGCTGAGCTAAAGTCCCAGCACACAGCATTAGCATTCAGGCAGAGACTGCAGGGCCTTGAGCCCTGCCTCTGCTGCCACGCTGCAGGAAGGAGCAGAGCAGCTGGCAGACACCCGCCGGCCGGGCTGACGTGCAGGCTGTCGGTGACGCAGACCCACGGCGGGCTGGCACTGGTACCGGCTGCTCCCGGTGCCTGCCCAGCATGTCTGCACAGGGGAGAGGGAAGTGCCAGATGGGGAGGGCTGGCACCACCAGCCACTTGGCTGTTTGGAGGATGCAGCTTTTGCAAACAGCACGGGAAGCAAGGCGCCCGCTGGTGTGCTCTGTGGGGAGATGATGCTCCCCATGCTCAGGCAGAGCCGGGTGAGTCTCACAAGCTGGTGGGTTTTCTGACTCACTGCTTCATAGCTGCATGCAAACATTTGCCTGTGCTTTCCCAAACTGCCAGACCGCAGCGCTGCTCTGCAGGACTTGCCATGGAAACACGTTTCCCCACGCAGCAAACCACCATGCTGCTAGCAGGACCATCCCTGACACAGCCTGTCTGCTGGAACAGGACCGCTGCCTGGCACCCTGCCTGCTCCACGTGCTGAGAGGACAGCAGGCATGGAGAGAGGCTGGTGGTGATCAGTGCCTTATACATTCCCTGAGTGCCAGGGTTGAGGGGCAGTGCTGGCCCCAGGCTGGCAGGACTGGACACACACCACATCCCCAGGGAATCCCCAGACTTACCCAGGCCGAGTTGTGTGGGGAGCTCCCCTTGGGAAGCAGCAGCCTGACAATCTCCAGGTTGTTGTGGTGCACAGCCACATGCAGTGGAGTCAGGCCATTCTGTAGAGGGGGAGAGAGAACAGACAGGTGAGACAGAGCCTCTCCCCATACGAGACCACTCCTCCCACAGAAGCAACTCTCACCTTCCCCGCTGCATTGGGGTGAGCGTCATGTGCCAATAGCAACTCTGCCACATCCACCTTTCCATACTTGGCTGCAACGTGGAGAGGGGTAAATCCTTTCTGAGGAGAAAGGCAGCCCATCACAGGGTGGCAGAGATGAAGAGAGTGCTGGCACCTGCTGCAACACAGGAGGAGGCTGCCCCTCCTGTGACAGGGACACTGTGCCACCAGCCTGCCCAGCCCTGCCCCAGCTGGGCCGTGCCTTCCGCAGCAATGGGCTCAGCAGCCTACCTTGGTCATGCAGGTCTGTGAGGCTCCCTTCTCCAGCAGGGCCAGGGCTGTGTCCATGTGCCCCTCTCTGGCAGTGATGTGCAGGGGCGTGTGCCCTGCTGTGGTGGCCAGGTTGGGGTTGGCGTTGTTCTCCAAAAGGAGTTTGACCATGCCGGTGTGGCCGATGCGGGCAGCACAGTGCAGAGGAGTCTGGTCATCCTGTGAGGGTGGCAGAGAAGCTGTCTGGGCAGACCTGGACCAGACCCTTCTTGCAATGCCAAAGGGATCCCAGCCCTGCTCCCACTGTTGCACAGCCCCTGGTAGGCAGCGCTCTGGGCACGTGACAGCAAAGAAACCCAGCACCAGCTGTTCCCAGAGCTGAATATCACACAGGTCCTCTGTACCTACCTTGGCCTTGGCATTGGCTTTGGCTTTGTTCTGCAGCAGGTACTTTGCCACATCTGTGTGCCCAGCTCTGGCTGCCATGTGTAGAGGAGTCTCTACTTTCTGCACCAAAGACAGGATAAAGTGGTAAGGCCAAAGGAGGGAAAATGCCTTCCTGTAGTCATTCCTCTGCTCTGAACAGAGGAGAGCAGTGGCTGCAACCCCTGCTGGTTCCTTGTGCCAGCACAAAGCAGAGGGCACCAGGGACTGCTCAGGTGAACGGAAGGAGCAGGACCTGGATATCCTGCTGAACCCCAATAAGCTGAGCTCCCAAAGCCCCAGCCAGGGTGGGACTCACCACGTTGGACACATTAGGAGAGGCTCCACGCTGCAGCAGAGTCTTGACGATAGGCAGGTGTCCCATGAAGGCAGCCACATGCAGGGGGGTCAGGCCAGACTGTGAAGAGAAAGGGGCCAGAAACCAAGATAGCACTTATGGCCTTGGCAATATCTCTCACTATGCCCTCCTCCTTCTCCCCAGGACAGGTCTCAGCACAGGGAGAGTCCCCACTCTGCTCCAGGAGCCTGGCAGGTGAGTGCAGAGGAAACACACGGAGCTGCTGTCTCCCCTGCATCTCCTTGCCCTTCAGGAACACGCTGCCAGACTAAATCAGTTCTGAGCTGCAAAGAGCACCAAGAAAGGCCCCGGGGGTATGGCAGAAGCAACAGGGACATGACATGCCCACACTGTAGAATCAGGAGAGCTGAGGATGGGCTCAGCCCACCTACCTCTGTGACAGCATCAATGGAGGCTCCTGTCTTCAGCAGCAGCTCCATCACGCGGATGTGGTTTTTCTTGCAGGCAATGTGGAGGGGCGTGAAGCCGTTCTGCAGACAGACAGACGGTCAGTTGCAGGAACTCTCCCTCTCCCCCTGGCCTGGCCCAGACCACCCACCTTTCCCTCACCAGGGCTCGGGAGTTGGGCTTGGCCCCCTTCTCCACCAGCAGCTTGGCCACGCGGTGGTGGCCGCAGTGGGCGGCCACGTGCAGCGGCGTCAGGTGGTCCAGGGTGATGTCGTCGATGTCCGCGCTGTACTGCAGCAGCAGGCGCACGCAGTCCAGGTGGTCACCCTGGGCTGCCATGTGGATGGGCGACAGGCCGTTCTGTGAGCGTGGAGAGTGTTAATTAGCCTCCTCGAGCCAGGTCTCGTTAGCCCTTGGAGGTGTGTGACACGCCTAAGATAGCTCAGCTGCTTTTGGAGGGGTGAAAATCAGCAGGATGGCTTCTGTTGCAGTGTTGGAAATGAAAGGGTTTAATGAAAGGCAAAATAACCAACAGAAAAACTGTCCAGGTGCAAGAGGTCTTTGCTCCTGGTAAAACACCTCACAGAAGCAATTAGTTTAGTTGGTCACTGCTTTTCTAGTAAATTGCCCAGGTGGGACTTTTTGGCTTCTATCCAATTAGCCATCCTTAAGTCTGAGGTGAAGTCCCCAAGGTCCTATGAGGTGGCTTTTCACCAGCTGAGGAGAGAAACTTCTGGGCTTCTTTCCTTTTTAGGGGGACAAAGGATAGTTTTGCCACTCCATCAACAGGGGGCACATTCCTACAGCAGAGCCTCTGGGCTGGGCCAGGAGGGGTCCAGGCATCCCACCCAGCCCCTGCCTTGCACCCCCAGACACTACTCTAGGGCAGATGGGACAGCTTGTGCTACCAGAGAGAAGCCTCAAAATCCCTCACTGGGACTTAGAGGAGCAGTGTCGAGTGGAGGGAAGGGCCTGAAGAGCTGCTGACACGGGGCAGACTGTACCCAGGCCATCTCCTTCTCAGGACTGGTCCCTTTGAAGGATGAAGCCCTCAGGCAAAGGACTCCAGCTAGGGCTAAGTAGGGCAGGAAGCTTCTTATCCCTCATCAGGCCAAAAAAAAAAGCCCCAAGCCAGTCACGGGTGCCATCCAGCAACTGTGCACACCCACTGTGCTGCCCTGGGACCTGGCACCAATCGCAGCCCCAAGTCACTGGGTACCTTGGTTTTGGCTTGAATGGGAGCCCCGTGGTCCAGGAGGATCTCTGCAATTCTCACATGTCCGTTGCGTGCTGCACAGTGCAGAGGGGTCAGCTCGTCCTGGGGAGAGAGAAGGGCTCAAGGGCTCAGTGTGGCATGGAAGGGCAGGGTTCCCTCAGGTAGAGGACTAACAGGGTCTTTGGACTTGTCTGAAAAATAAGGCAAAACTGAGCCTGGGCTCAGCCCCCAGGGCACACCTTTGTAGCCACGCAGCCTTCCCTCACCTCTGTATGTGCCAGCAAAAAACCTGGTCCATCCCCTTAGTGCACCTCTCTCACACTCCCAGCAAGACGTTTGCAGGGTAAGCACTGGGCACAAGGAGCTCAGGGAGGGAGATGGCTGTGTAAAGGTGGGCTGTGCTCTCACCTTGGTCCTTGTCTCTATCTGGGCCCCCCGGTCCAGCAGCAGCCGCACCATGATGATGTTGCCCCGGCGGGAAGCTATGTGCAGGGGGGTGATCCCATTCTGTCAGGAGGAAGGACAGTCTGTCAGAAGGAGCAGCCCCTTCTCTTTCAAGAAGGCAACACAAAGGAGAGAGGGCAGGGAGAGCTACATCTCTGCCCAGGGACAGCACTGGGGAACAGCTTGTTTAACAGGGCAGTGCAGCTACAGGCTGCAGACAGAAGCTACACAGAGCTTGTAGGAAAGCACCAGCTCATGGGTTGGGCTTTGCCTTTGGGTCTGGAACAGGTTCTTCCTAACTGCAGGTTCTAGGAGCTCTGCCCTGCAGCAACAGCACCAGCTTTCCCTCAGCCTGGAGACAAGGTCCCCAAAAGCTTTCAGGGATGCATGGCTGCTTCTAACAGAAGGAGACATAGCAGAAAAGGCCCATGCTTGTTATTAATTGCATGCTGCTTTCTGCGTAGTCCCACCTCACCAGCATGCCCTGGCAGCTGCTGCTGCACCCTACATGGATAGGAGGCACAGCACAAGCCCCAGCAGCTTCCCACTCTGCACTCACCTGGGGTGTGAAGTTGACACTGGCTCCACGGTTCAGCAGTAATTGGGCCACACTGAGATTCTCATAGTGGGCTGCAATGTGCAAAGGGGTGAATCCAGTCTAGGGAAAGAAGGAGGGATCAGCCAGCCAGACACATGCTCCCTGATGAAACTACGGATAAATACAGCATACCGAGCTGCTGTTCTCCCTGGGGATGCGGGGGAGCTCCCAGAGACAGCACAGGAAAACCACACACCTTGGAGAGGACATCAGCATTGGGGTCATTCTGCAGCAGCACAGCAGCTGTGCGCGTGTCGTCATTGCGGGCTGCAATGTGCAGGGCAGGCAGGCGGACCTTACCCTTTGTCCCATAGTTGATAAGGTGGGCAACCACATTCTCATGTCCTTGCTGGAGAGCCACAGCTAGCGGGGTGAAGCCATCCTGCCAAGGAGAGGGAGAGAGTCAAGGAGCCATGGCAGGACCCGGCACGTCCCTCAGCAGCCCCCACGAGCAGGGCCGTAGGTTCCTCCCCAAGGATCTTACCTCTGTGGCTACATTCTGGTTGGCTCCATTTTCCAGCAAGAACTTCACAACTTCCAGGTGGTTCTCCTGCGCTGCCATGTAGAGAGGTGTGAAGCCTTTCTGCAAACACAGGGCCATGAACATCAACACAACTCTTCCTTGTGTTTCTTGAGTTCTTTGAAGACCTATACCCCCATCAATACTGCCTCTCCCAGGTCTGTGAACAGGGGCAGAAGCATCCATTGAGGGTGTGAAAAAGAAAAAAAAAAACCTGGCAACTGTGGAACAATCACAGAGAGATGGAGCCCAAGGCTGCAATATCCAGAAAAAAAAAAAAAAAAGTGCTTTGTAAGAGTCAACTGATAGGAGACACTGCTGGCATTGTCCCTAGCTTCAGGGACAATTCTCCTATCAGGCAAAATCTGAAGAGCTTTCAGCCCTACCAGGCCCAAGGAAGAGAGAGTGAAGGAAGCACAGTGTGTTTAACTGAGGTGTTGCTGGAGATCTCAAAGCTTTGCCAGGGAGGCATCAGCCATGAGTCCTCCCCGGATAAGTTCAGCATGCTTGCATGTGTTGACAGCGACTCCCTCAACACCACAGAGACCTCACTGGTGTCCCCACGTGCCTCAAGACTCCCTCCACACCATTTGCACACTTGTCTCTTTCCAGGAGTCTGGCAGAGCAGTCCTTGCTCCTGAGCAAGACTAGAGGGAAATTGCAAAGGCCATTCTGGGCACAGTTCCCACCACGAGGACACCAGCACCACCACACAGGGTGGGTGCCTTCCTGTTCCAGACCAGCTCACCCTACCTGGGACTGCGCATTGACGTTGGCCCCATAGTTCACCAGCTCCCGGACCACGTCCTGCTGTCCAGCCAGGGCAGCGATGTGCAGGGCTGTGTTTCCCTTCTGAAAGACACCACAGGACAGTCCTCAGGGGCTGAAGCAACCCAGGATGGCAGGGAAAGACGGGCCTGACATGCTAACAGGCATGCAAGCAGAGCAGCTGGCCAGGAAATGCTTTGGAAGGCCACGCAGCTCTCACTCCGTGTTCCATCCCTGCTGTAAACCAACCAGCCACCCTTCCCATCTGCTGGCCAGGGAAGAGAGTGATTTCATCTCTCCCATGAAGTTACTGGCAGCAGGAGCTGTATGCACTGTCAGGTGCTGTGCATCTTCAGCACTGAGAGATGAGGAGAGGGGGGAGGACGGGGGAGCTGAGCTGGCAGCTTCAGGCAAAACTGCAGCGTGCACCCTGGTAGCCAAGGCATCCCAGCAGATACCAGGGGTGATGAGCAGGCTGGAAAATGCACACGCAGGCTCTTCCCACTTGTGCCTTTGGGTGGTGTGGCAGAATGCCAGATTCTGCTCTGTGTCCAGAGCCCTGTGAGAGCACCAGGGAGGTGGCACCTCCTGTTCTCACAGCCCTTCACTGGCGCTGGAGGCTGCTCATTTGTCAGCCCTGCTTGCTTGTGCCGTTGTCTTGCTTGTCATCAAGAGAAAACCACACCTGCTGTGGTGATGCAGGAGAGAACAACGTGTTATTTACAGAGCACCAGAGCTCTCCAGTGACATTGAGGCCATCTCATTGCTGGAACATGCAGGGGCTGCCCTGGGGCAGCAGCCCGTGCCAGGAGGAGATGCTGGTAAGACAGGACTAGCCCATGCTGTGGTTTGTGTTACTCCTCTCTGAAGTCCACAACGGCCCCCACAGGAGAGAGGCACCTTTTATTTATTAAGAGATGCCAAGCCTGTGCTAAAACCAGAGCCTGGTGCTAGAGCTCAGCCCAGCAGCACTGCCACTGGCACAGCAAGCAGCATGATCCCTGCTCAGCTGCTGCTGCTGCTGTGTCTGGCAGCAAAGGCAGTGTGCAGAGCTGTGCCCAGCGTGGCCAGGCTTCCTCGTCCTTACCTTGGTCGTTGTCTCCAAAACGATCTCCTTGTGCAGCAGCTCCACCACCATTTTCACATGGCCCTCCTTGGAGGCCAGGTGCAAGGCGTTCAGCCCATTCTGCAGGAAGCAAAGGTGGGAAAAGGGAATTAGCCTCCACCTGGGCATGGAGCTCTCTGGGGAGCACCTACTCTGAGCTCCTGTGCAGGCAGGACTGCGGGCACTTGGCCCATGCTGGAGAAAGGCCAGGCTGGTGGGGGCAGGAGTGACTGCCCTGTCCTTGGGCGCTGACATCCAGCACACCAGCCACGGTGCCACGAGCAGCCCCATGCTGCCAGGAAAGCTTCACACAACTGAATGCTGGCTTGCTGACTAATGCTGGAGGTTTCTCCATGAGCAAAACATGCAGCCCACGTAGGCAATTTCCTACAGATGGGTGGTACCAGAGCTCAGTGTCGATGTGCTTGAGGCACAGGAGCTGCTTCAGTCCTCCCTGCTCATGGCACATCCCTTGTGTCAACTCCTGTCTTTGCTCAAGTGACTTTCCACGGGGTGCCCCTCCTCACAGTCAGGTTTTTCACACCTAAAGCACAGAGCTGAGCTTTGTGCACAGTCCACAGCAAGGATGCACCACCACTGCAGTGTAGGTGCACATACAAACCATAAACTTTACCATTTACACAGACAGATGTGCAGTGAGAAGCCCTGCTCCGGGCAATGATTTTATCAAGCAGCAGCCCAATTTAATTCACAGTAGTTTGTGAGCCTCCAGGCCAGAAGCTGCCTTCTCCCTGGCTTTCAGACTGCCCACCAGCACCTTGTCCTGCAGCCCGTGGTGGGCTTTGTTCCCCCAGAGCTCAGCTGCAGCAAAGAGTGTAGAGAAGGTGTTGGCTGTGTCACTGTTAAGCTCTACCAGTACCAAGAAGCTCCCAAAAAGCTCAAGTGACTTCTCAGGAGCATCTCTGCATCTGCCCCAGTTTAGCTTTTTCCTTTTTTGCCTTTTTTCCTACACGTGGAACCTGAAGAGCAGAGGACTGGCCAATGCCCCTTTATCCTCCCCAGGCTGTCAGAAGGAGGGGTGCCAGGTCAGACAGCATCCTCAAGGCTGCTAAGACAGCTTCTGCTCTGCTATTTCTGACACCCTCTTCCACTTCCCAGATGTGAACAAAAGGTCTGGGATATTTGCTAGAAAAGAGGTTAAATACCTGCAGGCATTTTCAGCTGCCCCTTTTTCTCCTTGTTCCTCACTTCTCCCAGGTGGATGTGCTGGGTTTACTCACCCCTACACAGTGTTGTTGCATGGCACCTGCTCCTGCCCAAGTGCTCCACCTTCCAATCATGTGTTTCAACTCTGGACTTCACAGAAATGCTTCATCCCCACCTAAATATTGGTAGGGGAGCAGAAAATGCCCAGGGAGGCTCAGTTCCATCCCTCAACACTCCAGTTAAACTCACAACTGCTTCAAGAGTGTTAGACTGCAAAAAGGTTTTCCACTCTTTCTCACTCAAAGCACCAGTTGCCCTGAGGAGTCACAGATTCTTTTGCTCAACTCCCATTACAGCACAAAGAGCAAAAATCTAAAAACCCACAGGCTTCCTCACCACACCAGCTCCAGAGTTCTATCAAGCCTCAAGCACAAGCTCTGCTTGCAAGGGGAAATGAAGTGGGAGTGCTGTAACACCCCCAGAGCAGTGCCGCTGAAAGGAAATGCTCCTCAGCCACGTCTGGCTACACTGAGTCCATCTTCTCTGGCCAAGCCCTGTTTCTTTGACAAAGACACTCCTACAACCCCAGACAGATAATCACTGACACCCTCACCTCACAAGCTGTATAAGTGGCCACAGACATGCAAGCTTTTTCTCAGTTACACTCACATAACCAGCAAGTGGAGAGCAAGACCACAGATGCTCCCCTCAGACCATAAGCCCTTTTATGCAAAGGATTCATAAATAACCTTTTGAATGCTATAAATATGTGATGAATCATTAACCTGTAACAAACAGTTGTGCAAGAAGCACAGAAGATTGTTTCCATCGATGGCCCATTGGTATTTCTGCTCCAGGAACAATTCAGGCTGTTTTGCACTTTTGCTTTGGCTTGACAGCTCATCCGACCCAAAACTGCCACAGGGTGTGCATCATTTGAAAGGTGCTGTATTTTCCTCACTAAATAATTCCCAGAAATCCCAGTCACTAGCTACCAGTGTGACAAATGTAGCCCTACAGAATAACACAGAGACTTCACACACAGCCTGTCCCAAAGCAGGGACTGCCCATCAGGACTGGCCACCTCAACAAAGACCATCTCCTGGGCACCCACGTGCCCTCACGATGCTGTTCCCAGCTGGTGAGAGTCCTGGCAGCAATGTGCACTCATCCTGAGTCCTCCAGCTCCTCGTGGATGAGATGGGACCATGCTGGAGTTTGAGACACGAAAGGTGCACGATGGAGACACTGATGCAGCAATGAAGGAGGTGGGATCGGTGGGTGAAGATCAGATGGCATGTCAAGGTCTCTGAACTTGAGCAAGAATACAGGACTTGTGGGATAGGTCTGACCACATATATCCCTCTTTATTCTATACAGGACATGTGAGGTTGGACCTTTCCCACAGGTCTGATATTCCTCAGAAGGAAACCCCAAAGTGCCATCTAACCTCAAGGAGATGGCAGGAACCAGTGCAAAGACATCACTGAGAGAAGAGCCTCATACTGCTGTAGCCATTGTCTTTCCATCAAAGTGTTAAATACCCTCACCAGCACCAGAAATCTGGTTGGAAACAGGACTTGAAGCTAGTCAGTGGAGACAGCTGATGACAGACCTTCTCTTTGGTGAAGAAGAAGTTCAAAGCCATCATCTTTAGCTTGTGGATGAGTCACCCTGCTGTAATTCTTTACAGAGCCCTCTCCAGAACCCCACACCCCTCTGGGCTGGAGCATTACAGGACCAGGGGAGGTAGAAATCCTCCCTCTCCTCTTGGGATGAGTGAATGTCCACGGTGCACTCTGCTTGCCCTGGGGGAGCCTGTCCCCAGTAACTGCACTGGCTGCTGCAGCACAAATCAGGTCTGAGCTCCACTTGCTCTGGGGGCTTGGTACTGAAAGAGATGAGTGTGCCTTTGTGCTACCTGCTGAGTCAGCCTCCCCAGCAACCACTGCTCCAGAAAACAGGGACAGCACACAGCCTGCCTGCTCCCCCTGCTCAGCCTGAGCCCCCTGAATCTGTCCCTACAGCATCTGCCCCAGTTCAGGCTCAGCCACTTGCATTTGGCAGCTACACAGATACAGAATGTTCTGATGATGATGTGCAAACAATTCCTCAGCGCCTGCAGCTCTTTGCTCCTGCACAAACCTATTTCTGTGCAGGATGAGGAGGGCTCCTCCTGCCCAGCACCTCCCAAACCACCACAACTGGCATTTTGCAAACATTCACTGCTTGTGGTAAACTGCAACTTCTAGGAATCCAAAAGCCTCAGCACTGCAGGCAAGGGGAATAACCCCCACGAGCCATTTCTGTGATGCTCCAGCCACTGTGCTACTCTTCACAGCTATCTGCTCTGCCCTCTGAGAAGCAGCTGAGCTTCTTCCAATGGTCCCATTTGCTTGTCACACTAAAGGAGCCCTCTCTGCTTACCTGTTAATGTGTCCTTTGCTATGCTCCAGCCAGTACATCCAGGCTCCCCGGATCTTTATAGCTATTGCTGCCCTCCTGGCCCCAAAGACAACGTTCCAGGTCTGCCCTCTGCTCAGCCACATTTTCAATGAACTAGAGATAGTACCAGAAGCCCTGTGTGTTTCACCTACCTGGTTACAGGTGTTAATATCTACCCCATTCCTGAGGTGATCCAAGGCTTTGTCCAGATTCCCAGATCTTGCAGCTCTCAAGAAACTGGTTGCAGCATCAGCCTTGGGGACAAAAAGAAAAAGCATGAAACTCAGAGCCCCCTTGTTCTCCCCCACCACCAGCACTGGGTCAACTCTTCACTCAGCTGCAGAGAACAAAACTACACAGACCAGGCAGAAAAGGCAGAGGCCAGGAAAGTCACAGTGGGAACTGAAGGGACAGGCTGAGGTGCCCCAAATCAGGCAGGAAAAGGAAGGGCTGGGACCTGGACTTAAAACGAAGAGCATCCAGATAATGGGGCAGAAGGTCTGCAGCTCACCCCATCACACTGTGGGGACAGCAGGGAGGGAACTCCTGCCACCATGCCACCTCCCTTGGCCCAGGAAATCCCTCTGTGCCTGGGCTGAGGAGCTGCACTGATGGAGCTGTAGTGAGCCCACCCCTGCCCTCCTCCAGGAGCCACTGAGTAGCACCAGCAGTGAGCCTGGGTGTGCTGGCAGCAGGGACAAGAGCCCCAGCTGAGCACCTCACAGCTGTGGAAGTCACAACTCTCTTTTTTGGCAGTGCTTCCCTGCTACACCACAGCCAGCCCAGGCAAGGCACAGCAATACTTTCAGCAACACCCCTGAGCAGTGTGAGGCAGCAAATGGAGACGATGGCATGGCTCACTAGAAGCTGGAGAACAGGGTGGAAATGCAGTGATGTGGGTCTGTGAGTCTGGGAGCTTGAACTGGAGCTGGTATGTGCCTGCTTGGGCCAGCCCAAAGGGCTCTCTGCAGCCAAGAGCCACACGACATCCATGGCATGGGTGCAGGACACACTCCTCTGTCTTCAGCTCCAAGAGAAAATCGGAGCCCTGCTCGTACCACTCACATCAGGACTGACCAAGGGACCTCCTGTGCTAGGAGAGCTTCTGTTCTACCACCCCAAGCCATCCTGTATTGCCCACAGCCTGGTTGCAGAGGAGCATCCAGGGTTAGGAAGCTCCTGGACAGGAGCTGGAAGCAACACAGGCAGAGACAAAAGCACTGGAGGCACATTAGGGAGGATGATGCACCACACAGGTTCAGGGCTCCTCTCTTCCCTTCCCTTTGCAGTCTCAGACGTTTGAATTGGGACTTTGGAGCAGCACAACTCAGGTGCCTCCTGGTCCCCTCCATCTGCCTCCCCCAGCTCATCCTTTCTGCCTGACACTCCTAGCACAGAAAAGGCAGCCATGCCCTGGGTATGGGCTCACAGACAGGGTGAGGAGGAGCCCACAGAGCTCAGGCCAGGCCACCAGCAGGGTGGCAAGGTGCCATGTGCCCTCTGGGGCAGCCCGTGGGTCAGAAGGACAGCTGGTGGAGAGCAGCACCAGCGTGCCCCACCATGGTGCAGGGGGAACACGTGCTGATCTCATGACCTCCTGCTCCAGCTGGCTCTGCTTGCCTCCAGCTCAGAGGAGAGGGAAGAGCCCCCAGATTCACACTGGGGCTGTGGCTTTGGGAGGCTGTGAGTGCAGAGGAGACACCTCAGTGCTCTGCTCACACAGAAGGATCAGCCACGAGAGGCTGGAGGCGACAGCAGCGTTGTGCTTAGAAGTGCACATTCACGCTCTGTGCTGTCTGGGCTCCAGTGAGGAAACACTGACAGCTTCAAGCAACAGGCGGAATGCAAAGAGCTTTTCCAACTCCAGACACTGCTAGAAGCCTCTGCTTCTCAGGTCAGGATCGACGACAAGGCAGCAAACCCTTGGAAAATCAAAGCACAGCTCAGCCAGGCTCTGTCATCCACGGGACACACATGGAGCTCTGAAGATTAAATGGTAAAACTCTACGTGGCCCTGCAGCAAAGGGGCTCCCAAAGCCCCAGCACACCCAGCAGCAGAGACCACAAGCAGAAAGCAAGCAGAAAAGCAAAGCAGAGGTCTCTGTGGGCACGAAGGAGAAGTGTGTGGAATACTCACAGCCACGTCTGGACCGGACCTGCCCTTTCGTGCTGCCATAGCCCGGCACTTCGGCTGAAACCTGAGCCTGGTGTCCCCTCTCTCCCTCCTTGGTTATCTACTCCCCAGCTTTGAGAGAGCCAGTAAGTTACATTGCATTCTATCTAAAAATACAGGCTCCGTCCTCTCTCCAATGCAGACCCTGCAGGGATCGCCAACTGCTAATGGAATTTGTTCATTTTCCCTCCATTATTGTGTCAGACAGGATATTTAATACCCAGCCACCTCCGGAAAGCAAATGACTGCTGCCAAGCGCAGGGAGGGGGTCAGAGCTGCAGGTACCACCACAGGAACAGCAGAGGAAAAGCAGCCCCACAGATATGCCTGGCAACTCACAGGTAACTCCTGCCACAGAGGAGAGGGGTTGGGGTTCCCTCCTGACCCTCTGGGTGCTAGGGCCAAAGGCTGGAGTGTGCCTTTTGCTCCCCAAGCTCAGCATGTACCTTCCAGAGATGCACAGAGAGATGCAGGGCATCAGACAGCAGCCATCCGAGCACACATTCCACCAGAGAAGATGGAATAGCTCGGCTCAGGTGCTAAAAGCAGGTCCACAGTCATACTGTCCCTCTGATGTCAGCCTGCAGGGTGGGACTGCCTGCCTGTGCTCAGGGCAATCTGCTCCCCAGGAAATGGAAGCACGGGCTGGGTCACTGCCACCTCCTGAATTTCAGCAAAAGGGAGCACGGGCAGCAAGACCCCGTGAACAGAAGGAGATGTGCACGTGGAGAAGATACACACACACATCCCAGTCAGCACCATCCCAGCTCAGCCAGCCACAGACACACACGTTGCAGTTATCACCACCCACCCACAAGCACAAAGCTCAGCACAGCCGTGCCTCACTTGCTCCCTGTGTGCCCCAGGACACAGCAGCTGCTTCCATGAGTCTCCTTTATTTGGAGCTTGCAGAGTTTATTTCCAATTCTCCTTCGTCTTCCCAGCAATTCTCCAGGAAGGAGATATTCCAGGGGAGAAAATAAGCTGCCTCACTTGCTGCTGGGTACCTCTTGCACTCTTAGGTGGCTGCTAAATCCTATACACAGGCATCGTGCTCTACAGACATCCAAGCTGGGAAGTGTCAGGAGGCTGCTGCCAGCAATTCTACAAGAGAGAAGCCTCAGATCAGGACTTTGTTAAGTGCTCCAAGACCTTCTAAAGTCGAAAACTTAGGCCAGCACATCAGACTGTGCTTCTCCTCTCCTTCCCTTTCTTTTCTTTCAGGAAAAATCTCCCCTTGTCTGCTGACAATCTAAATTTTCCCTTTCCCTCTGTCCTGGTTTCAGAGTCAATTTATTCTCATGAAACCCTCTCCTGGCCCTGAGGAGAGGCTTCTTGTGTTCCTTTTCCCAGGTGTCCTCCTCCTCTCACAGCAATGATGCCATTAGCCTGGAGCCACATGAGCCCATTGCATTGTGCTACCAAGCACAAGGGGGAGTCAAACCAGAGGCTCAGGCTGGATTTCAAGGGCTGCAGTGAGATGTTTGTAAGCCTGCTGTGTCTCTGGTCACAGAGTCCTGCTCTAATCTCTTCTGGCAGCTCCTGCCCTCACTCACACCCAGGGAGGAGCTCCCACAAGCTCCTGCTGCTCATCACTGATAACAAAAGGGAGGGTCCCAGCATTGCCTGCTCCTGCTCAAGCTGGCCACACTTGGCAGGAGCCCACTCTGTATGAGCTGCTAAATGCTGCAAGTAGATGATTTCCAAGCACAAATGAGTTCAGGGACTTGTGCTGATCTCACAGCGTTTTCTGGGACACAAAGGCAGTCGAGAAGCAGCTCCCCACACCACTCCAGCCTGGCACACACTCCTCCTGCTGCATTGCCCTCTTTACCCTGCCTGCCCACTTGTCTCTTCAGCCAAGCTGACACACACTCATGGAGCAGCAGACAGGAGGAAACAGCAAGGAAACACCAGAAGGCTGAGCAGCACACAGCAACCAAGAGCCAAAGAACCCCAGGGCTGGCAGTGAGATGCAAACCCTGATCCTGGCACCAAGCCATGTATTGCTGTGGGCATCCTGTCCAGATGCTGTGGAAAGGTCCAACTCACATCTCAGAGGTCATCCAGTTACTTCCAGCTACTAGTGCAAGTGTTCTGGAACCTAAAGTCAGCGCTGCCAGCTGAGGATGTGTGATAAACCCTTGCCAAGGACAACAGCCCTTGCCATTTGCTTGGACATTTCCTTGCTTGTGTCCAACAGTGGGCATGATCCTCACCTTTGAGGCATTATTTCCATCAGAAACACCAAAACCTCACCTCAGTGTAGTGGTTTACTTTTAACTGTCCAGCCTAGGAATGTGTCTGGAGCCATTGCTCATTTGGAACTCTCCGCCTTGCCAGATATCAACTACACAATTCTGCAGGTGATAACCTCAGTCCTTTCTCATCAGATGAGGAGAATTTGTCAGTCCTCAAAACACACTAAAAGAGCTGCTAGGATTAAGAGCAGTTAGGGATAACACCTAGGGTCCTCACAGGATAATCAGGGAAGATAGGAGATTCAACTCCAAGTGCTCAGAAACAGAAGCCATGCTGTCTCTCTCACAGGAGCTCTCTTTCCTCTCTGTATTAACAGAAACTGGACGCTCTCAGTGGGCCCTGCAGCAGGAACAAAACCTACTGGCAGGTTTCTGCCTTCTGAGGAGAAGGCAGCACTCAGCAGAACACAGCATCTCCAGAGAGGCCACAGCAGCAAAGCCTCAGGCAGTCAGCCAGCAGAACACAGAGAACAGGCAGAGACTGCAAACCCAGAAGAAAGAGAAAAGCAAAAAGCATTGGGAAAATTCATCTGATGAAAGGATAAACCCAGTTGCTTAAATTCTGTTCTTTCATCATCCTCACCCCTATCCACATGACCCAAGACAGATAAATCCATATGCTCAAGTTCCATTCTCCCATCATCCTCACCTCTGCCCACATCTGCAGATCTTAATAGGAGCCATGATGAGAGTCAAGGCACAAGAAGTCATCTCTGGAAGGCATCTGCCAAGTGAGTTTGCTCTCATTTCATGCACCAGCCTGAGTAAACCCTCTGTCCATGCTCATTTCTGCTCGGTGGAGGTTTCACAACAGCCCCAAAGCACGTAGCACAGAGACTGGTGGCTGCTACACCCAGCAGAGACCCCCAGAGCAGGATCCAGATGCAAGGGGGAGCTCAACCATCTTGCAGCAGGTGAATCAGAGCATGCAGGAAGGGAAAGATCTGTTTATCCATGCAAAGGATAGAGGTGGAGAAGAACTTGACACCACTGGCAAAGGAGAAATCCCAAAGCCAGAAGAAGGAAGGAAGGAAGGTCCCTGGCAGGTTCGTGGGAAGGGAAGCAACCTGTCAATTAGCATTTTTCCAGTGCTGAAGAGAGGGCAAGCTTTCCAGTGCCAGCATCAGACTGGCCTCTCCAGCATGCACAATCCTCCACCATTACATAATCATGAGTAATGGGATTTTGGGAAGCCCATTTTTGTGCACTCTTAACAGGAGAGGTGGTTCTGGGCTGTCACTGGCGGTGCAGGTCAGGGGAAAGGTTGGCTCAGTCCCTGCTGAGCATTTTCAGGTACAGACACCTGCATTGCCACTTGACTCCTTCCTTCCCCACTCACGGGTCCCCTTTGCTGCCTGCTGCAGCTGGAACAGGTTCAGAGCTGTGAGGAGGGCAGATATCACAAACAGCTTAATCTGCACAGAGCCAGGCAGCGAGGAGATGCCCCTGGAGAGCAGAGTGATCTTTCTGATAAGGATCCCCCGGAGGGCTGCAGCCTGCAGCTCTCTGAAAGCCTGCAGTACCTGCCTGCTGCCTAATGGATTTTCTAAGTAACATGTTCGAGGTCTTGTTCTGTCGTTTGCAAACTATCACTTTGCCTCTGAAGTGCAGTGCTGGGTGGCCAGCAGCAGAGGAGAGTGAAACAGAGGCTGGTCCAGAGAGCTGAACAGGAAAAGGAGACCAGAACATCTGAGGCAAGCATTAACACAGCTCCTGCTCCTGCCAGCTGAGGCCACGCACACCCAGGGGAAAGCTGTCACTCTCCTTTGATGTTAGCAGGAGCCTCTGCTCTCTGCATATCCTGAAAAAGAAAAGCTATTTTTACCTCATCAAAAAATATATAGACTGTGACTGAAGACAATACATGAGAGCTCTGCTCAGGCACTACACCTCTTCTAATAACATAACAACATTTACAGCTGCCAAGAGAGATGCAGCAGCAGAGCAATGGCTTTCTCTCTCCTCCTTTCCTGATGCTCTGCCTTTTTTGGACCGTGACATGGTTCAGGCAGGTCTGTGCAATGAACACTGGGGAGCTGAGAGGGCTCTAGCATGCTGACAGTGCAAGGGGGGATCAGAGACATGCTCTGAGCCTGCCTGATGCCAGCCTGGGACTAAGACACAGCTTCTGGACCAGCCCCAACCTGACCTGGGCTCTGTCAGTGCCCTCATGCTCAGGTGAGGTGCTGGAGTGCAGGTCACACCACCAGGATCTGCCCTGTGAGAAGCTTCCTTTTCTTTCCCAGTGATGCTTATGAGGTGCTCCTGATTTCTGCAGCCTGCTCTGACTCATTCCCTGCCTCTCCTCCAGCAGGACTAGTCCACACCTGCTTTGCCTGCATGCACAAAAGTGCTTAGAAGGGGTTTTTCTGCTGGGCACTGCATGCTGGTGGTATCACAGTGCAGTCCTCGTGCTGTGGCTACCATGGATTTACTGTCTAGAGCCCTAAGCCAGGCTTGCCTGGCCAGCACGTGGGGTGCAACCTCTGGAAGCCATGCAGGGAAGAAAGCACTGACAGAAAAGCACCAGAAGCACAGGCCTGGTAATAGATCTCTGCCAGCAGATCCCTGGGGAGGACATGCAAGCAAAGCCCTTGCAGCACAGCCACCTGCTCCAAGCAGAGCCAGCACAGCGCTGTGCTGAGAGAGAAACATCATCCTGTGCACCTGGCCCAGGGCAGAAAGGTGACAACACAGGAATCAACATTTACCATCACAGGAATCAACATTTACCATCACAATACTGCAAGAAAAACAACACCTGGGGCACCTCCCTTCTCCCAGTAAAGCAGTGGTGAGAAGGACAAGGCAAACGCAGCACTGAGGGACCTGGTTTCAATGCCAGGCACTGCCACTGGCTCCAAGGATGACCTTGGGCAAGTCACCAATGACCTAAGAAGGGCAGCAAACCCTTCCTGCTACTCTGAGGTCCATCTAGCAGCAATTGTTTGTGGAGAAGAGGCGTTATCTTTGGACTGAAGTCCATATTGCCAGCCAGAACATACCTAAACTCCCTCACGTAAAGCAGCTGACCTGATTCCTCTCCTCTTTTGCTGCCCAGCCATGCCCAAGTACTCACCCTCAGGTAATGCATGCATGTCATCACTGCAGGAGAAGGTCAGCTCACCCTGGACAGCCAGGGTCTGCAGCTCTGATCAACTCACTGGTGCTGAATGCTGCAGCCAAACCAGGCACGAGCAGGCTGGAAGAGGTTTATCAGCAGCTGGACTGCACCCTATCACCACTCACACACCTGACTGCAAGCCAGCACAACAAGGAAGCTCCTGCCTGGAGTCTGGAGATTGTGGGTCCTCCTACGTCAGGAGCTTGGGGAGAGCTGCCAGGCTGGGCACAGTGTTTGGTGAATGTCGTGGCTGAGCCACGCTTCATAAACACATCTGTGAGCTGCTAACAGGGAGGAGCCCGTGTGCATGAACTCTGCTCTTCAGATAGTTCAAGGGAAGATGGAACTTCAGCAATACAAAGCAAAATGAAACAGCTCTGTGGCCAGAGCCACGCAGTCTCCTGGTCTGTGCCACACAGAGCAGGCTGGGCTGGAGACAGCGAGCAGAAGACCTGAGGTCTTTCACAGGTCCCTGCAGACCTTGGCTGGGCACAGTCCCAAATGGAGGACACCGAGATGGAACTGAAGTGGCAGATGAGGTCTGGTGACAGCAGCTCCAGGCTCTTTGTAGGGCCTAGAGCCCACTAGAGTACAACGAACGCGCCCCTTCCCCCCTTCTACCTGCACAGCAGACTCCTGCTCCAGCATCCCTTCAGGAGATCCTTGCTTGCAGCAAGAAGGCAAGGGGTCCACAGTGGTTGGTGCATGCCCTCTCTGAAAGACACGCAAGGCAGTCACACCAGTTGTCCAAAGGAAGACCCTCCTGGAGACCGCTCCCGTCCCCCCCTCTGCAGAGCTCCAGCCTGGGGTGACCCTGCAGGGCACAGGAGTCATCCCTCTTGGTGCTCCAGACGCTCAGCTGGGGCCAGGCAAAGGGCTGGGGGAGCCACACAGCTTGGTTTGTTTCCAGCTACCGCTCAGCCGGCCCTTCGGCCGGTTACGGGGCCAAGGTGTGTGCAGCCAGGCACTGGGGCCGAGCCAGTGAATGCACAGCCATGAGGTGATCACACCTGGAAAGGCCTGGGGTAAATGCAGCTTGTAAAATCTGCAGCTTTGAGAAAGAAACAACTGCTTTGCCAGCTGTTGTCTCTCTAGGGAATCGCTATGAAACAGCCCGGCCCACCACCAGAAAAGCTTGTGTAAGCTGAGAGGCAGGAAAAGTAGATCAATAGAACACATTAGGATGGCAAAATGCTTTGCATTACACAGAAACTGAGATTTTTATACTGAGCAAAGACCAAGTTCAGCATTAGAGCAAAGCAGAGTCCTTACCTCAGTCTAGGGAAAACACCTTCCCTTTGTCCAGAGTCATTCAGCACTTCCTTGGCAGTCTAGAATCCCTCTGATATTTGAAAGAGAACAGACTCCACCTTCAGCCCAGGTAGAGCTCAAATGTTTGTTGCCAAAAGGATGGGCACTGCAACTGCTGGCTGCCTGGCACACTGCATTTGCTCTGAAAAGTGCTGCTGCTCCACAGAGTCAGTGTCCACCCGTGCCTCAGAACCTGCTTCCACTCCTGCCAGCTCCACAGCTGCATGGCATGGATGCAGACACAAGAGCACACTCTGACACAGCCATTACCAGCCAGGGCTCATTCAACAATTCAAAGTTTCTCCTTCAGCATTATGCAAACTTTCTCCAGATCCTGCAGCCACCAGGAGAGCGTAAACACTTGACAAAGCCCTAATCTGTGCCCTACAATCCGACTGGGCTTACCCCCAGCACACCCCATGGGAAAAGGAACCCTCCTTTTCCCTCATTTTGAGATTTGGTTTGGCTTTGCTTTGTGCAGCCTCTGGCACTGGTGACTTTCCCAAACCCAGAACAGGAAAAATCAAGCATGGCACGATCCCCAGGGCAGCAAACATTTTAGCCAGTCTCAGACTGGCCCAGCCCTACAGATTTCTGGCAATCCAGTGATGCCTCATGCCCTCCACAAGGATGGAGAGGGGACAATGCTGTCCCCTGTGCTGGGGGAACACAGGGCTCCCTTAAGCACAGCCTTTGCCACAGCAGGGTGCAGGGAAGGAGAGCCTGTGGCTGTGAGCAGGGTGGGAAGCAGCAGTGGTGGTTGTGCAGTCTGGAATGGTGAGCACATGGTGCTGTGGCAGAAACAACAAAATGGACTTGCCCCAGGTCCCCATCACTGAGCAGAACCTTTTTACCACGGTGAGGAACGAGAAAAGCACCCAAATACAACACGTCTGCAGTCAGAGCTCCTCTGGCAGAGAAACATTGCCTTTAGGTACGGTCCTGGCAAGTCTGGCCAAGCCACAAAGTCTCTGTTTCCCCACTGAGACCTGGATTTTTGCCTGCAAACAGCCCCCAGCAGCTGCCCCAGAGCTGAGAGCTGGGGTCACTGAGGCATCCCTGGCTGTTGGTGACATCCACGTGGGCTGGCAGGTCACAGGCTGCAGCACACCCATGGAACTCCAGGGAGTTCACAGCATTAACATTACTACAGTCACATACCTGCAGCTCTAGATGTAGAGGTGATTTTGGGAGCAGGAGTCAAGGGGATCCTGTGAGGTGGGAGGTACCTGTCTGTTTTCTCCCTCCCCTAAAGATGGGGGAGAACAGAGCACTTTGTAACACACTAAAAACCATTTATTTCCCAGGCTGTTTACGGAGCTGGTGCAGGCTCCATCTATAGGAATCTTTGCTCCATTAATTGCTGTCCCTTGCTAATTGTAATTTCCCAAACACTTCCCATTGGTGCCTCTAATAGGTCTCATTACTACCTCTCCTGAGGCATCTCCAAAAGTTCCTCCTAGTTGTAGACAGGTGAGTTGCATGTATCAGTGCTGAAAACTCACACCTCAGAGCAACTCGATTTTGTCATTGTTATCTTGCCTGTTATATCTAACAAAAACATCTTGGCAGCTTTAGAGAAACCAACACTATTGGCACAACCCTGTCTGAGAAATCAGAGCCTGTGAGAGCTTGAAAAATAATAAATACAAGTCTAATAAATGAACAGCTTTTAATTCCAAAAGCTCTTTCCATTTTCATGAGAACACCTCACAAAAATAAGGTCTCAGGCAGTTCCTTAACAGTTACCTGTTTCCAAATGCTGAACTGAGATTGTCTGGGTTGCTCATTTCCCAAAATTTTATTTTTGTCCTCTCCTTAGTGACATCTGAGCATATGATCATTACCATAAAGGCTTCAGAGACAACCGAAGGTGGACTCAGTGTCATGTTGTACTCACAAAAGCTAGCACAGAGTTAAACTGGGGCTCTGCAAAGGGACATTATTTACAATAGAAAAAAACAGGAATATTGTCTAAAAAAGAACAAATTGACACAGAGAAAAAGTGACCAAGAATTACAGTGAAAATACCAAACAATAACATCTGAGCACCCCAGTGGGCTTTAGGGATTTTTTGCAAGCCAGGTTCCAGTATTCTCTTTAGTGCTGCTCCCTGGATGCTAAAACACTTCTCATACCCACATGAAAACTATTTTCTCCCTCTGCTATCCTGAGACAGCTCCTGGCACAAGGCTCAGCATCCCTGGTGCCTCAGTGCTGCTGCATTCTGGGGTCACACCTGAGATGAAAACCTTGAAGTGCAGACAGAGTCAGGGGTGAAGAGAAGCTCTGTCAGAAATGTAGAAGGCAGAGGTCTCTGAAGAGAACCAGTCCTTCAGCTACAAAGAGCTTTTTTTTTTTAAGATACCACGTTCTGCCTCTGACCTTTGGAGAAACTCTTCAGCTGTGTGATGATGTAGCTGTGAAGGAATGCAAGGCTCCTTCCTGGGTTTTGGTATCTGCCATGTAAGCAGAGAAGTGACTGCCCAGAACCAGGCACTTGCTGGCTGCTGCCAGCCTGTCCCCAGCTGTTCTCCCTTTCATTAAGGGAAGAGGAGTGTAACGTGTGCTGCAGAGAACCCTAAACACATCACCTTGGAGAAAAGTAAGTAACATAAAAATGGGCTTTAATATTTTGAGGAAGCTGCACGTGCCTTTGCCCAGGGAAGGAAGCACAACCCCTCCTGAACTCAGCCACCTGAGAAATGAGGCCAGGATAAAGTCCAGGGCTGCAGCCTCTGAAGGGAGCTGCTCCCTGCTGAGCACTTGCATACTCTCCTGGTGCAAGGACATGGAAACAGCCAGGTTCACTTTATTCCAGCATGTCCCCTCTCTCCTCAGAGAGGAAAACACTCCCTGTGCTCCTGTCACCTGCTGAGGCTCCCAGCTTCCAGTCAGCAAGCCATTAGCTCAGGAAACATCAATGCAGTTTGAAAGCTGAGTCAACAACAGAAGCTGAATAATTTAAATGTTTAGCAATGCTGCTGCTGCTGCCCAGCCATGGATAACAGCAGGTACACAGAAAAACAGTGGCGCTGCCAGGCCACTTCTTCCTGTTGGGAGAGAGCAGCAGTGATGCAGGCACAAGTAAGTGGATAAGGATGCTCTGCAGGGCTGAGATAGATGCTGCAGCTCGGAGCAGGCAGCCCTCAGAACATCACACAGCTGAGGCTTTGCTTTCCTGTGGTGTTTGTGGCTTCTGGCATGACCATTTGTCACTTCGAGGCAAGTCCATGGGTGCCACTGGTGCTCAGCTTCCAAAGTGCTGGAATCATCAGCCATGATTGTCCCTCCCTGCACACATACTGAGCAGACAGACAGTTCCATAGCACGTGCCTCTCTGGCATCATACCAGGACTTATCAAATGTTCTTTTTGCTCATCATTTGAACAAGCCAGGCCACACAACTGAAAATATCATCACACAGATTTACCTTATTTATGCTTATTCAAGCATAAAACCTCAGAAAGATTCTCAGAGTGAAGACATGAAAGAGCTGTAGAGCTCCCAAAGGAAAGGAATATTCATGCCCATTGTTTTTGCTACAGCTTAGTACTGTGCTATCCTGGCTGCAAAGAAGATATCTGCACAGATAAAGTTCTTCAGCAACCTCTGCATCCAGCTCTCTTATCCAGTGGACCAGAGCACAACTCACCCACAGGATTAGCGCTCACTGTTTGACCCCTCTTAGAGATTAGGCAGTTCTGAGAGCAAAAAGCATCACCTAACTCAGCCTGAATCTGAAAATTACCAGTTCTGGGAACTCAGAATTTGGCATTATGCCCACAATATGGG